AGATAGATAATAATCAGTCTCATCGGGTAAGATCGTATTTTCTTTGAACCGTTGATTCAAAGAAAATACGATCTTACCCGATGAGACTGATTATTATCTAACCAGAGTTAAAATGTTTGTTGCGGAACGCATGACAATTTAATCATGATTAAAGTGGGGATTAAAAAATGATTGTCATTAGTTAATCAAGAATTTAATCACTCTTGGTGGAACCGGGCCTAAGAGTTGATTTCCTTCAACGAGGATCGCATTTAGTGACTTTAGTGTGGAAGCGTTTGGAGCTGGATCCGGTCAAGCTTCCATTGGAAACTCCCCCAATTCATTGAACCCGTTCGAATCGAATCGGATGGGGAAACTTTTGTCCAAAACTATGGAGTTTTCTCCACTATGTGGCGGTCTGGGTCGAAGCCGGTCGTTCACCTGGAGTGGAGCTCAGGCGGAGGTTCCGCATTCGACGACCGGCCGGGATAGAATAGGGATGAGGGGGAGAGACTGCGGCTTCAGCCTGCTGATGTATTATGGGGAAAACCGGGGATCATTATTTATTAATTATTACCAGACAATACGACGTGGTTATTCGTTGGGTTTTTCATTCAAATTTCCCATAAGCACATTATCCACTTGGTGTGTTCTGAAACAGTTTACCTCGACATTCCATTAACACCCATGAGCCGACGTGTTCGATAAAAATGGAAAATTGCGGATCAGACGGATCTTTGCCTGCTGGAAACAAAAGATGATTAATCGGTTAAGGAACGCGCCAGTTTAGCTCCCCATTACCCTTATCTTCCCGCATTACTTTCCAAACAAATAAAACCTTGGGGATGTATTTAATAATATGAATGGAAAGGCCAACTTCATTAATGGCGCAAAAAGTTCAAGACTAGCTTATTTTCCGCTTACGGCTTTTTCCCGTAAAAAGAAAACGTCCTTGATTGATCACCGGCCGTGTCTCTAAGCAGTTCACAGTTCTTTGCAAATATACTGAGTGAATATTTCATTTTGAGAAAATAAAAGTGAAGTAGTCTAATAACCCAAAATTAACACAAAAGCACCGATTAAAACCGTGTGGGGTTTGATGGAAACAAGCACTAACACCAAGCAAAGAAAACCCTTTGAAGCACAGATTTTCCAATCGAGTAATAGCCTGAGGAATGGTCCCTCCTCTACTGTTTTTCATCAAAAAACTTCATCTCAACAAATTTGGTTTTAGCTTCTCCCTTTTGAGTCTGCATAAATTTATATAACCGCAAGTAAACAGTCAATTACCTTTAAGCAACGATTAAAACCGTGTGGCGTTTGATGGAAACAAGCACTAACACTAAGGATATAAAATTTTTTGAAGCGCAGATTTTCGCATCAAGTAATGGCTACTTCTATACTGTCTTTTCACTTTTTTCATCAGAAAACTTTCTCTCAACAAACTTGGCTATTTTGTCCTAGTTTCTATCCAAACAGCTCAAAGACATCTTAAAGACGTCTTTAAGATGTCTAATTAAGATGTGTGATTCGTCTTAAAGACGTCTGTATACGTATGTCTTAAAGACATCGGTTGTTACAAAAATGGACGTCTTAAAGACGTCTTGAAGAGATTACTTAAGAGTGTTACTAGGTCCAAAATATGTTTTACAACTGAGAATGTAAAATAAAATGACTGAATGTTTTTATTTTACTATTTTTTTAATTTTGTCCATCAGGCGCCCTGAGTATCCAACTTTGGATGCCGTCTTCAGTCTCCTTGACAGATTTTGCCTACCCTGATTTTTCCGCTGAACCCAAGAAATAAACATACAAACTGTTAAAAATATTGTTGAGACTATTATTTAGCCCAAAATGATAGTAATGTCCGGGAATCACTGATTCCAGCTGCACCCAGGCTGTAAAACGATGTCACCACTAACCGAACTCTTAAGGGAATTGTAAAGTTTCTGTCTTTCGGTGGGTCTCTTGGCCCTCATATATATGATGTATGTTTAGCTTACCACTTGCACATGTTCGCTTCATGTTCGGTTCTGTATAAACCGTAAATTTACAATTTTTAAAAAAGCTAAACAGCTAAACACAGTGTATAACTAACCGCAATAGACGATTTAATAAACGAAATTAAATGTTTTCACTGCAATCAGATGGACTCGAGCAAGTTCGTCAAAATGTCTTGTAGTAGACATTTAAAAATCGTCTTAAAGACATCTTGTGCCAGGCATTTACAAGACGTCTTATAGCAGACAAGTTTAAGATGTCCGGTGCCAGGCATTCACAAGACGTCTTGTTGTAGACATTTTTAAGATGTCTTAAAGACATCTGCAAGAGACATACGACGTTCAGACATAATAACGGCATAAAGGAGACGTCTTGTGCTGTCTGAGTACTTCAGTCGAAGCCAGTACTCATAAGTAATGATTAAGACAATGTAGAGACGATTGGAAGATGTCGTGCAAATTTTCCTTGATCTGCTATCTGTAGCAAAAAGTATTTTACTGTTTTGAAATAATTAATTACATTTTAATCTGTTTTTGTACACTGTTTATATGCTCTTCGACGAGGACTTACGACTACTACGCACGTATTGAAATGGTAGTAAATACATTATTCTCACAAAACATTGGGAACTTCGCAAAAAACGAAATCAGAAAGTTTGCTTCAATGTATTTCATGCATCAGCTAATGACTTTTTGACTTCAAAACTGCACACATTTTAGAAAAAAGTTCCTAAAAAGCGTTTCTCTTGTTAGAGGCAAGACTTCATCAAAATAAGCATTTCTTTAAACCAGGGACCCGGATCGAAACCGATATGGACCCAAAACCGTGACGGAATCGATTTTTTTTTTGGACGGGAACCGTAACGGAACCCATATTTGATATTAACACACTGTTAGGTGCTGAACCGGAACCGAAATATTTTATTTCGGTTTTTTCGGTTCTGCTTGTCACCAACAAAAACACATTTGAAATTGAAATGTTGGACAAAAGCACCTCCTCAAAAGATGGTGAAGACATGAACCAGGAAGAACAATGTTTAAACGGAAATAAGAGTGAAAGAAGAGGAATTGACGACGTTGTGAATCTGAGTGAAAACGGAAAGAAGATAAAAGCGCTAAAGTCAGAAAATTCATTGACAAATCACTTTTCAAAAATACAACGATTACATTAATTTTTGTATGGGAGTCTTTATTGCAATGTTGTTCCATTTAATGTTACCTGAATTTCAATCCTTGTGTGGGGTTGCTAGTCCTCCTACACTCCTACCCCCTATGATACAACCAGCCGAAGTATCGTATGAAGCAGTGGATCCTTTGCGCATCTTTTGTCTTGTATAATACAAAAAGCAAGGAAAAAGATAGTGAGATTCTTAATTAGAGTATCTTTGTCCTCGTTCGTTGTTATATATAGATTTAGGAACCAAAATGAACCGAAAAAAAAACCGGAACCGGAACGGAATCGAATTGGAAATTATTTTCTAAACCGGAACCGTAACGGAACCGAAATTTTAAATTTTGCCTTGGACCGAAACCGGAACGGAACTTTCGTTTCGGTCAGGGTCCGTGCTTTAAACTATTACTTCTTACGGAGTTTTTTCCAAAACATGTCCAAAAACTTTGATGAGTTTTTCATGCATGGTTCTGGCGCCTGTTTCTAACGAACTCAACAAGTTCTAGTGGTTGCTGCTCAGTTAATTTCTTGTACAATTATCACTTTCTCAGAAAGGCTTGTTTTTTCCAACATTCGGAGGAAAAATTCTAAATTCCCTATAAAGGAAAAGTTCAAAGACCATTCTATTCTAAACTGTTAAACAACATTATATCAGTACATTCTTGTAGGGAAATAAATGTAAACATTAAAACCAGATGTTGTGAAGTGAGGTTATGAAGCCAATTTAAGCTTAACTGTGTGATGAATTGTGCAGTTTTGTGACGAAACTCATGCCTCACAAAAATTGCACCAAATAATCACCCTGTATACACCAAAACAGTGTTTGGAGACGATTTATAAACTTTCGCACTCTATTGATTCAAGTCTGGGCATTTCCATTCGGGCAAAAGAAAATCGCCAAGTGGCAATTTTCCATTCCTAAGTATGGAAAGGCAAATAGTGCGCCTTTATAAACACTCAATGGAAACCTGCACTAATCCATAGAAAGTTCGGGCGAAGATAAATGCGCTTCTGAAAGCTGCTTCGAAAGAGGTGCATACATCAAACTTGCTAAATGGATTTAATAGGTAAATTATGATGGCAGCTTGTAGCATCCAGTGCCTTCTTTCAGCGCCAAATAGTTTCACAATAATAAGGTAATGGAGAAATTGAGCATGTTTAAAGATGATAGAAGTAGGGTTGAAGAACCTTGCCATCATGGAGCTAATAAGGACGCTTCTTTGCTCTCGTTTTTAACCGTCATTTCCCCATGTGATATGGAGGATTAGACCGGAGTAAAGCGTTAAGCTAAGGGACTTTGGCAAACTCTATGATTTACTGGCAACTGCGCCAATTCTGAGCTTCTGATGGCAACTTGCTACAAGCGCGTTAGTTGATCTAGAAGACGCAGAAATATGTCGAAAACACAATTGTACAAAATCAAAACGGCGGTTTTCTAACTAATCGTCTTCGGTTGATCAATAATATGTATGTCCGCATTAGCACTTTCTATCTGAAAACTAGTTTTACCTCATCCTACCATTCCACTGATAAAGGCAAATCAGTAAACAAGCAGATCTGGTCCGCGCGCCCAACAGACGCAGCGGCAAGTGATCACCGTGCGTTTATAATGTAGGCCGTAGACGAGCTGGTTGTTTATCAGCTTATGAAAACTATAAGCAAACAAGAAAAGCTTCTAGTCTATCAAAGCCGCAACCATATCATAGTGTTTGCTGGATGAAAATCGGCCCCATTTTCACAAACACGAAATGATCACGCTTTACTTAACTGCATAGCTTGGGGGCGCCCAGTTAGTAGTTTATCGGCATCGTGACTTTAACCTGGCGATTCCAAAATAGAATCAAAGGTCACAAATATTTTTACATTGTCAGGCTACAGAATCGTTTAGAATCGTTCAGTTGTTATCAACACTTCAGCGTGAACGAGTGGACGCTTGTACCTGACTTTGATTAGGTCTAAGTGTCTCAAGATGAGCAAGCACGGTTTTGATTCGGACACGGTCACATTGACTCGTTTCGTCCTGGCCGAACAGTCCAAAGTTCCCACAGCTACCGGAGAACTCACTCAGCTACTCAATGCCATCCAGACTGCAGTTAAGGTTATTAGTAGCGCCGTTAGGCGAGCGGGGATAACAAAACTGTAAGTAACTGTAGATTTTCCATTGAAAAGTTCACTGTTTTGCTTTATTATTATTGCTAATTAAGCTGGCGGTAAAGTCAAAGATTTGTAAACATCGTAGGCGTATGTGCTGAGAAAACTCTCAGAAATTGGGGATAAAAATATAAGTAGAGAAAGATGACCTAGTGGAGACTATTAGCTGGAGCTTCCACCGATTATTTTTATATCTTCAGCACATTTTTGCTCGAAAAATTGTATTAGATACAAGACCCAAGTCACACATTCATATGGTCATTTTAGTCCGAAGTAGTTCCGACTGAAAACCTTTGAAAAAACTGCTACCGACTCTTCTTTGTGTGCTTTACGTACAGTATTTTACAGTTTGTGAACAGTAAAGACAACATTCCAAAAACACTGGTTCAAAAACAGCGATCCTAAAATCATCAATACAACTACTGACTCTTATACAGGGTGTTCCACCGGAAACCGCCGTGATCGATATCTGGCAAACTGTAATTAGCAGAAATTTGAAAATTGGGCATTGTGCCGAGGTCATTAGGGGTACGCCGCCTAAAATATTTTCAAGATGGCCACACTTCCGGTTATACCGGAACTTGCTTATTTTAAATGGAACCCCTATATATTATTACATTTTTGAATTCTACTCCAAATTCTAAATGTATTTCATGTATAATAGCCTATACTTAAGTATAACGGTTTTTGAGATATTTGGAATTTTATGTAAAAAATGACAGTTGCAGCCACTCGAATAATTATTAATTTTTCCTATAAGGGAATTTGTCATACTTTGTTTGAGTCGCATTTCTTGTTGAAAAGGAGTTACCTTAATGGAATTTCGAAAACATTTTGAAAACTATTAATACAAAGTGTTAAAAAAATAAGTTTCAAAATACAGTTGAGAAAACCGCCCAAAATCAATTTTTTCAAATGAAAACCTCAATTTTTTATAATTTTGTCATATTCAGTATTAAAAATAAGTGTAAGTTTGTGTAACGGTGTCTATTCCAAAAGTGTTTAGTTTTCGAAATATTGCCAATTTAATGTTTTCATATGGCTATTTTGAAGCCCCTTCTTTTAAATCCTGTCACTCTTAGTTGCCATGAGGAAAGTGGCCATTTTTAATGCAATCAAATGCCAAGGGAATGCTGACAGCTCTCAGTTACCTTTTGAAAATAATTAATAATCATGCCCGAGTGCTTAAATTAAACAAACGAAGATTATTTAAACTTATTTATTATTTATAAAGAATGTGATAAAGCTGTCACATTCTTATCATGTTCTTGATATAACTTTATCACATTCTCCATAAATAATAAATAAGTTTAAATAATCTTCGTTTGTATAATTGAAGCACCCGGGCATGATTATTAATTATTTTCAAAAGGTAACTGACAGCTGTCAGCATTCCTTTGGCATTTGATTGCATTAAAAATGGCCACTTTCGTCACGGCATCTAAGAGTGACAGGATTTAAAAGAAGGTGCTGCGAAATATCCATATGAAAACATTAAATTGGCAATATTTCGAAAACTGAACACTTTTGGAATAGACATCGTTACACAAACGTACACTTATTTTTAATACTGAATATGACAAAATTATCAAAAAAGGGAGTTTCCATTTGAAAAAATTGATTTTGGGCGGTTTTCTCAACTGTATTTTGAAACTTATTTTTTAACACTTTCTATTAATAGTTTTCAAAATGTTTTCGAAATTCCATTAAAGTAACTCCTTTTCAACAGTAAATGTGACTCAAATTAAGTATGACAAATTCCCTTATAGGAAAAATGAATAATTATTCGAGTGGCTGCAACTGTCATTTTTTACATAAAATATCAAATATCTCAAAAACGGTTAGACTTGGCTACATGGTATTGTATATAAAATATATTTAGAATTTGGAGTAGAATTCAAAAATGTAATAATATATGGAGTGTTCCATTTAAAATAAGCAAGTTGATACCTACTTCCGATATAACCGGAAGTGTGGCCATTTGGAAAGTATTTTAGACCGCTTGCCCCCAATAACCTTGGCACACTGTCCAATTTTCAAATTTCTCCTAATTACAGTTTGTCAGATACCGATCGCGGCGGTTCCCAGTGGGACACCCTGTATACGAAAAAAAACTGTCTAGTCCAGTAATGGAGGACAACAGTTGAAAAACCCTGAAGCTAAACCGAAGTAAATAAAACCAATGTAGATAACATGGAAAATGGAATAAACTCAAAGAAATTTGATATTGCTATTGATTTTAAATTTAAATAAGGATACAAGAGAGTAATGAAGGACAATCCATTTTCTGGAAACGGAAAAGAGTTGAGAAAACAAAAGTAAACATCCTACGGAATATCAAAGGACACAGAAACAGATCAGGACGGAAGAAATGAAGGCGCAACTGACGGAAAAATATGGAAAACTAGATACTAAAAGGCTACGAATCCCCGAAGCTAAACAGGAATTAAAAATACCACTGACAATGTCTTGCAAAAATAAAATAAACTTATCGAAACCATCCTGAAAACGAAAATTACCGCGTAAGAGAATAAAACATTAAACAACTATAGGACAAAATGAAAAGACACGAGGAAAGAAAAGTAAACATTGAACAGAATATCAAGGAACACATGTCAACCGATCAGGAGAGAAAAATGGGAGCGAAATAAACGTATCTGGTACAGAAATGTGGTAAAATGGACATTAGACGAGTGCAAATCTCAGAAACTAGACAGAAACAAATAAAAAAATTGACGATGACAGGAAAAATTGAATAAACTGAAAGAAACCATCAAAACATATGGACCAACACCTATAAAAATGAAGCATTTTCTGCAACAAATGGAAGATACTCGGAATCAAATGTAAACATTGACTAAAGTCAAACAAAACAGACACACTGATCAGAAGAGAAAAAAATGAAAGCGAAATTATCGTAACATAGCAAGGAAATGAGACAAAATAGACATTAGACGACTGCAAATCGCAGAAACTAAACATAAATAAATCAAACCATTGACGATGAATGAAAAAATAGAATAGTAGAATAAATAATACCTTAAGGGAATAGACGAAAAATGGAAAAGACTCGTGGAAAGAAAGGTAAATATGGATCGGAGGACCAAAAGACACAAATTGATCTGGAGAGAAAAAATAATAAACGTATCTGGCAGAAAAATAGGGCAAAAAGACATTAGGCGGTCACAAATCCCTGAAATAAATAAAAGCATTGACGATGGCACCAAAAAATGGAATAAACTAAATACAGACAGCAACCAAAAAATATGGACAAAACACATAGAAAAACAAAATAACCGCATAGGGGAATGTACGTCAGAAGAAAAAAGTTTGCAACAAATGAAAAAGACAAGCGGGAACAAAGACAAACAGAACCGAATATGGAAAACACACAAACAAATCAGGAGAAAAAAAATGCAAAATTTACGTATCTAGTTCATAAATGTGGTAAAGTAGATATTAGACGACCATAAATCACAGAAACTAAACAGGAGTAAATGAAACCATTGACGATGAATGGAAAAATGTAATAAACTGAAAGAAGCCATAACAAAAATATACACAATACAATACAATACAATACAATACAATACGAATAAACGTATCTGGTAGAAAAATATGGTAAAATAAACCATACATTGCAGAAATTAAACACAACGAAATAAAACCTTTGGCAATGAATGGAAAAATGGAATAAACTGACAGAAACCGTTCAAAACAACTGCATAGAACACCTAAAAAAGAATATAGAACGAGAAAGTCAGAACAACATATAATCTGCAACATATATGAAAAAGGTGAGAGAAAAAGAAAAACATTCCACGAATTAAAAATAACACACACAAACTGATTCAGAAGGGAAACAATGAAGAACGAAGGCATAGAAAAATGAAGAAAACGTTCTAGTACTAGACACGAGTCGGCAATAAATTCCTGAAACTAAACAGAAACAAATAAAGCTAAAGACGATTGCTGGGTTAAATGGAATCAACTGAACCAAACTATTCGAAAAATATGCATAAAGCACCTAAATAAGAAAACAGGAAGAGATAGTAGTGGAGGCCAAATCAAATATAAAAAACATACAATCTGAGTAGAAAAGAAAACAATGAAAGCGAAGAAAGGAGAATTTGTAGGAGGACCTATAAAAATCGAGTCATACGAAATATGATTGCCGTAACGTGAGCCGAAAGAGCGAAAAATTTTCATCCATAAGGGCAAAAAAAAAACGAACAAAATGGACATTTAACATCAGAAACATAAGAACCATCAGTATTTGAGGTGCTACAAATTTGGATGCCGCACTGTAGCTCAAATAGAAGATTAATAAAAAATGATCGTAGATTTTGCTAAGACATTTGATCGCATTAAAAATGAACATTTCGTCTATTTACTGACGAAAGCTGAACTTGACGATAAAAAGGATAATTACCCAAATCTATGAACTGAAAAGTTTAGGGTTTTTTATTAGTTTTTGCTGTCAGATTACTAGGGAAAAACATACAGAGTATTTATTAGGACGTTAAGCCCCTTTTAACACTCTATGTATTAGGATTACTTGCTTAATAGGAAAAAATCCTATTCTCCATCTTTACCGTGGCTCTAACTGCTGTCGATTAATTTGTAAAAAACGGCCAAATATCATAGTTAAAACATCCTTTATACACATATTGCGCAAATATTGGAAATAGTAATTCCTAAGCAAAAAATAAATAACATTTGCAATCACACAATGAGGAAAATTACCATATTGGCTAAATAACAATATTTAAATCACGCAAGGAACAACAGCGAGTATCTCTAGGGAATGAAGAAACCGTCCAACTGAAAGCCTAAGAAAAGGCCGGAATACACGAGCGTTTCCGCAGTTGTATTTGAAACAATTTCAGAAAAACATTCGATAATTTTATACACTATATGTACACAGAGTAGCCCCAAAATATAGGTATTCTTCGACGCGAAACAGGATAAAATGTTCATATGAAAGAGAACCGACACCCTAAACAAAGCGTTTGTGGACCGGTCTTTAAATTAAATATTTGTCTTTGCTGGTGGAATCACCTTGTATCTAGCATCATTTTGCGATTAAAATCAATCCAGCTACGCTTCTAATTTGCTTTAACTCTTAAGTAGATACTCTAGACATTATTCCGATATTTCTAGCACCTACTACCTAATGTTTACTTAAATTCTACGCATTAGTGATAAGGTACTTTTTACGCTCGCGATTACCTAATAGAAACCTTTCAATGTTGCCGACAATTTCTAGATTTGGAATCGCTGGCGAAACAAATGTACAGGGCGAAGAAGTGAAGAAGCTCGACGTGCTGGCGAATGAGCTTTTCATCAATATGCTGAGAGCCTCCTTCACGGTGGCTTTACTCATTTCCGAAGAAAACGAAACCGTTATCGAGGTGCAAACATTTCGCCAACTCATCAATCTTAAACCTAATTTTATTCTTGGAAAATTGCAGGTGGAAACCGAACAGCGCGGAAAGTACATCGTGGCTTTCGACCCTCTGGATGGATCATCCAACATCGACTGTCTAATATCAATCGGCTCAATTTTCGCCATTATGAAAAAGGAAGACAACAGCATTCCGAGCTTAAAAGACGCTCTCCAGCCTGGGACTAAAGTAGTAGCTGCCGGGTATGCGCTGTATGGGAGCGCTACCATGATGGTTCTGTCGCTGGGTAATAGCGTGAACGGATTCATGCTCGATCCCAGTTTTGGGGAATTTCTTCTTACTGATCGTGATATGAGGATTCCCAGCAGGTGAGCTGATAAGACTAAGATAGTCAAAGTGGTATTCGAGGTGTTGAAGGGCATAACTTGAAAACTAACCACAAACGACGTTGACTAGATAGGAGAGACTTGTTTCCGGGCGACTCTTGGTCGGCTGGTGGTACAATGGGTGCACCAGCATCGCATTCCTTTGTCTAATTCAAATTTATGGCTTCATAGTTGACACTTATTTAATGAATTCCATAGCAGCCTTTCAAAATGTACCAACTTTTTGAAATTTTTAAGCAAAATAATTTATAATTTGAAAACGGTTGATTTCACAGCTTAAAGTGTAAATGCAATTTTGTAACTTTGTAAATTGTCTATCTAATGACGTATTAATATACAGGTACTTCCGTTTGAAAAACAAGTTATATTGCGTTAAAAAGTTTTAGATTGAAGTCCACATTGTTAACACCCTGTACAATGTATTGATATTTTGGTTCAATAGAATTCTTAACGGATCTGTGGTGATTGGAAAGACGTATTTTTTTGTTTCTTTAACTGTTTTTTTTTTGCTTCTACAATTAATTTTTAGATACCATGTTTTTAAGCAAAATTTTACTAAAATGGCGATAATCTGCCAACGTCTCATGTAATAAAAAAACAATTTACGGTGGATATGCAACGTTTCAAGCTGCATTTTATGAGCTAATGAAAAATGAGTAGTTCTATATAAAAAAATGCACTTTGATCTTGCCTGGCTTTTCTGAAACACTGTATCATATAAGATATTTTAAAAATATGCGCACTTTGTGCATCAACAATTTTTATATGAAACTATTTTTCGAATGTTCGACACCAACGGAAATAATGGACTCTCTCGCACTAAGAAACCACCCTGTATATATGTTGGCAATTCGGAGCCCATTTTTTCAATGGCGTTCTGATTAAAATTAGTTAATTAAATGAAATTTAGACATAAACAAACTTATTTTTTTCTTATTCGAATTAATCTAAAACTGCTACTTCCTCCTCCTCACACATTTCACTCGCGACCTGACAAAGTCGAAACGCTGTCGTCTTTTAAAGAAACTAAAACTAGACTTTCGTCTAAAACTAAGTACTAATTTTTTACTTTGCCCTTTTCAACTTTCGCTCTATTAGTTAAGCTTAAGGTGAAGCATTGAAGGTGATTTACTTCGATCGATTGATTTTGAGGATTTGATCAGTGACTATGCCACAGAAAAGTTATAATTTGTTAATTATTAAGTTTTTTATGTTTAAATCGCATTTAATTAACAAATTTTGATCAAAACGCCAAATAATTATTTTTTATTCAAAATCATCAAAAACTGCCACTTTCGCAGAGAAACCACGGTCATGCATGATCATAAAAAACACAGTCCGTCCGTCTTTCCACTTTATTGCATTTCAGTTTAGGGAAATTACTGCGTGGCACAAAGTAACTAAAATCCGGTTGGTACCATAGAGAAAGTAAAATATTTTTTTTATTATTATTTTACTTTCTCTATGGTTGGTACTACCAAAAGCAGGTTCTAAAAGCGTTCGCGGAACGAAGGAATGAAGGATCGGTTCTGAACCGATCCTGAATCGCTACCGCAAAAAATAGAAGAAAGTTAAGACTTTGCTTTTGAACGCATGTTTAAAAAGCCAACATTTTTTTGGAAAATAAAGAAGCTGCAGTCGCTTTTAAGCGGAAAATCTTCGAATTTTTAACACCAAATGTTCTCTGGTCCGGAACGTGCACAATTTTTCCTCGATTGTAAATCTGACCAGAAAAAGGAAATACTCTACTTTTAGTTGCATTTTTAGATACCCAGGAAACTTCTTTGATGCTTAAGCTGCAGACACATTTATGTGGAAAATTTTCGAATTTGTAACACCAAACACTTCAGTCCAGAACGTGAACAATTGTTCATAAATTTTAAATCCCCCAATTTCTGTCGGCGTTTACGCGAAAAATGTTGTAATTTGAACCACTAACCACCGTTCTTTGGTCCAAAACGCGCACTATTTTTCATCGATTTTAAATCGGCAAGAAATGGGAAATTAAGATCTTTTCAACGTTTCATCGACTTCGTCGAAGTCGTTGAAACTCAAAACATCTAAGATTTATTTAGCACAGTGAAACAAAGCAGTAAAGCTAAGAGCGCAAATGGATCAAGAAAACCTCGAGTTGCAAACGTTTAAAACACTCCTTAGAAGAACACGCGCTCAATTTTCCTTGGATCTTTAATTTGCAAAAAGTGGGAGAAAGCGAAGACTTTCGGCTTTCAAATGCATTTATGCAAAAACCCGGAATTTCTCCACTTACTGAAAATACAGGCGCAATTGTGCGGAAAACCTTTGAAATATTCTGGGCAAATTTGGAAACCTCCTAGTGATTCATGTGATGGTTTGCATTAGTTGCAGCCCTCATTGATGCTGTACCTGTCTTGATCTATTACCTCGAATAAAGCTAATAACTGTGCATGAAAAAAACTGGTATTTTTAGGGGAAAAATTTACGCAATTAATGAGGGATACACGCACGAATGGGACCCGGCCGTTAAAGAGTACATCGAAAGCAAAAAAGACCCAGCCAAGGGCAAACCTTACAATGCCCGATACGTGGGATCAATGGTGGCCGATGTGCACCGAACCATCAAATATGGAGGAATTTTCATTTACCCTGCCACGAAATCGTCTCCCAATGGAAAAGTAGCAACACCAAACCAAAAAAAATGCAATTTTCTAAAAATTTGCCTTGCAGCTTCGCCTTCTCTACGAATGCATTCCCATGGCTCACATAGTGGAGACTGCAGGCGGACTAGCGTCCACTGGAAAAATTTCAATTCTAGATGTACAGCCCAGTAGCCTCCATCAACGAAGCCCTATTTTTCTGGGCTCGAAGGATGATGTTCAGGAAGCTTTGGACATTGTTAAGAAGCATGAAGGATGACTGGAAAATGGCTAAACCAGGCCTGATAAATAAATAAAAAACACAGAATACAGAAAATATACATCTGAGTGTCAAATCGCAGGATGTTTGTTTATTAGTTACGAAATAAATTGTTTTTTCAAATGAAGGAAACAAGTCCCATTGCCACCCTCTTGACACCCGCTTAACATAACAGCCAGAAGTGCCGGGTGCTCCGCTGACTTGTGCAGCTCCTTAATCCATTTGTCCACTGTTTTGAATGTTTTCTCACTGCTCGCATGCTCACTGGCTATTCGAATGTGTCCCAGATTCAAGTTACTGTTGTTCATTGTCTTGCATAAATGCTTAATCACGTTCTTATTGGATTCCACTTTCACGCATTTGATTTCCGGGATGTTTTTATTGTCTTTATCGATACAGACTTTGTACTGGTCAACCAAATCAGCCACAGCGACTATATTGACGGTATTGCCGTTTTTTACACATTGTTTGAACATGCTGATGGCATAGTTAGCATCTCCCATGTCTGGATAGGATCGTTTCTTCACGTAGATCGAATTCATCACAGCGTCCCCATAATAACGGTTTTTTCGCAGCTTCAGCTGCACTAGTTTCATGCAGGCCAGACTGTCTTCCGAACTACAATGTCCATGATTTCCAGCTTGGATTTTCTCATCCAAAAATTGACTGGCAAGGATCTGTAGTTTGGTTTTGCGTGCCCGATCTCCAGTCAAATTGTATATAACACTACAAAGAAATTGTAAAATGGCCTTTTTAGGTAGTTCTTTCGATTGGATTTTCGGGCGTAAATCGCAGATTAAACTATGTGTTTAAACCCGGTTTTCGAAACGCTCTATGAAAATGATCCTTAAGCTCGCAGGTATGATTTAAAACGTTCCAATTTTCATAAACCCTCTATAACATGACCATTCAATAATGTTTAGCTGTTTTGCAGATTTGAATCGAAATGTTCCGATTTTCAGTTTCTTTTGGCTTTTTCGAGGCTTTTAGAGGGTAGAAATTTTGAGTAAAACCTCATAATGGAAAAACAGCCCGTGAAACGATCTTTCGAAATGATCCTTCTGACGAATCAACGATTTTTCGCAGATCCGACCCCAAATTTTTTTATTTTCGTTGCTTTTTGCGTTTTTTGTGCAACTTGTCAAGGATTACAAATTTTGAGTAAATCCCCTCGTTGAAAATACAGTTCCTGAAACGCTCTATCGAAATGCTCTTTATGACTAATTATTTAAATAAATCAATTTTATGACTAAAAGGCATAAAACCTTTTCGGTTTTATTCAAACTTTGAAGGTTTTCGTGGAAACCATTTCGGTTCGATTTGACTCACTCATTTCTTACCTAGTGTCTATTACATATGGATGCATCATCTTCAATGCATGCAAATCATTGGACAAAGACTGGCCAATTAAAATCGCATCTTCGGGCAGCAGTTTCCGTAACTTATTCTGGACTTCTTGAAGGTCGGTGCGGACGGTTTTCATCATTTTCGCATTAATTCCGGAAAAGCGCGTTAAATAATCGACGATCTTGTTTTTGGGCTTAACTAATGTGTCGTAAATAACCTCATGCTGCTCATTCACAGCTGAAATTCTTGTTAATTCTAGGTCGCCTACAAGGATAAAAACAAAAGTTAGCCTAAACACAGACGCATAGGTTCAAAGCCGGTCTTTACCTGTGTCTGTTCTGCACATTTCACAATCGATAGCAATCAGAGGACTACGAGCTGATACATTTCTATATCGATCTTTCGTTAGCGTGTAATCAGAGTATTTGCGTTCCACTAGCCCTTTGATTGGCAGCGGGAAGTTTTCTTCAATCATTTGCCATCCGGAGAGTAGTAATTGGGTTCTGAAGATACAATAATTTCACACTTACACCTTCAAGGAATTTTCAAAAGAACAAACCGTGAATATTTATCCTTTTTAGACAGAACGGGCGTATCTTCGTCATCAAAATCACCATCGATTGGAAATAAATTATTTACGGTATCGAATACTTCGCTGCAGTGCTTCGCAGCCTCTTCAAGCGTTCCATATTCGGTAATCAATTTGCGCATTTGAGTCACTGCAGAAATAATTTATTTACTTAGTTAACTATAAGCAAATGTGTTAAAGCTGAAAGATTCTTGATCCTAGAGCTTCTTCAAAAAGTTGCGACTTACTAGATAACGGCACCATGGACAACTCTTTAATAATATTACTGTTGAAGGCATAAGGCGAAATCATCTCTAGTTTGTGTTCGAAGTTTGCGCTGGTGAAGGGAAAGTAGCTCTCGAATGCCTCGTAATTATAGACAGACATGTTTTCAACGATTAGCAGAGTCACGTTGGTTAGATGATTGTACTTTTCTAAGTGGCACCATCTGAAAGTGAGGAAATAAGCCCTGGCTGGGCAAATATTTGGGCAGAAGTCCCGCCTACCTTGTCGGACAATATGGGGAATGAACACCGATTTGTGAATACATTAGAAGATGCTGAATGTCTGACAAAAAAAGGGGGCATCTACTCTCTAGTGGTATTTGCAAACTGGCATTTTCTCCCATATCTCGCAACCGAAATTTTGGCATCTAGAATAATTAATTTTAAAAAATCCTGAAACTTTTACTCAACTTTAAATGCACATACTTGTCGGATCTTCTTTGTTTTCTCCTGCAGCATCTTTTTAAGCTGTAATAATTCATCACCTTCCAGTAAAGGCCTCCCCGAAGGGCCAAATGCGACGCTGAAAAAATCATCACAATTAACCACCCAGTTTAACCTCAGGCGCTTGCATTTGCTTACGTTACGTCTGTTTTTAATTTCTTGTTAGGGCTCTGACCATTGCAATCGGGGCCATCTCCATTGATTTGCTCAGTTCTTTGAGGATGAACCTCCACAGACTTGCTATTCTTCACTTTAAGCCTGTCAGTTTCATTCAGTTTAACTATATCTAATAATGCAGCCATTTTTTTCTTTTTATTCTCAATTCTATGGCGTTTTTTTGGGCTGGTTTCTAATGGGCCTGTCATTTTATTGCGATCAACCGACTACTAAAAATACAAACGAAGAGAAAACCGAACATTACTGACTTTTATTTTCAAATCATATGCCTGAAGCTACGGCGTTAGGAGTTAATGAATGTGATTTGATTTGGATGCTGCTTTAATACTCTTAGATATAGTTACTAGTTAATGTATTAGAACACAGCGTACTAAAACTTAAAAAGTAATTAACTGTAAGCAAAAGCAAAGCCAATAAATCCTCTATTATTACCGGATTAGTAAGTAACAAGCGGTTTTAATAAATAGACGATTACACATTCACGTTTACTTCACATTATGATCAACTTGCAAACAATGTTATTCCCAAGAAAAAAAAACTAACTGCAGGGCTTTTGGATACGTTCTTCCTCTTAGAGGCCGATATTTGTTGTGCCTAATTGTATGACCGAGGAATTCAAATTGCGTTTTTTCAAGATATATTCGAGCTCCATATATTTAGTCATTCATTCTAGGATCTGTTTGTTGCATACGTGTTCTCCAGGAGATTTTAAGTATTAATTTTTCTTGTAATGGTTGACTTGCCTGCTCACGCCTCGCCCCCATTTTATCTTCTCCTATAATGTGCATGGTCGTCTCTAAGTAACTGATTATTTGTACAATTTAATCAGCCTCATTGTGTGTTAACTGGTTTATTCGAATTTTGTTGCGGAATTCTGCGGCTAATTTACCTTTACTTTTCATTGATACTTTCTTTGCAAGTTAATAAACTGAAGAGTGTTCGCTCCCCCCGGCTTTCGCGGTGACCTTTTCAGGATATTATGTCGAAACAGTCGTGGAAAAGAATTTCTTCTTGACGTTTCTCAAGCACGAGTCGCTTGCATCTTCAGAGATGGTTCACTCGGAGAACCAACTATTGGTCGATGCAAACAGTGCAAGTAGATGAGCTGAGGTTACGAAAAAACTATTGCAACATAGAAAGCCTTTACCCAAACTAAATCTGGCCTAATCTTAGCAAGAACAACTGAGAATAACATGGAAGAATGCAAGTGACCAAATATGGTGCAAACCCGTAAAATTAATTGGCTAAATGCATGGGGACACTTACCAGGTGTTTGACCGTTATCATAAAGGTATGAAGAGGATAAAGTTGCAGTCACATTAAATAGATTTGTCGATGTTCCTCGTAAAATAATGACCTGTATTTTGAAATGTTTGTGGCAACTTGTTGCTGAGGTTAACTGTTTGACGGGTTCCCACTAGATTTTGTCGCTCAATTTTACACAGAACAAACAACACTAAAGGCTTTCAAAATTTAAAATATGCAGTATGAAGGCTCTGGTATGAAAACATCTGCATTGCTCGAGAAATTTGAAACCTAGGTTAGGTAAAAAGTCAACTTCCTTCGATTTCAAATGGGTAATCAGTGTAAGGACGTTGCCAGGTTGATTGAATCGAAGCCCTTTTAGGCGTGTTCCTATTATTATTATTAACGCATATAAGCAAAATGCTCCCAAAAATTGAACATTAACTAAAGGAAAAAATCAAATAATATAGAATTGATATAAATATAAGTCAATTTTCAATATATATGCATCAAATTAATTTAAAAAAAAAAAATTAAATATTTCATAAAAGCTCTGATTAGATAAAAATATAATGGGCAAAATCAGGTAATTTTCGAAAACATATTTCGAATAAAGCAGATGCATTTCCTATTTACTTCTAAAAAAAGACCTAAAAGGGACCCCTAAACATCAAGCAACATTGTGAAAATTCAGCCCCCGGGGGTAAATTGAGGTTAGTGGGGCTCTGACACTGGCAGTTCAGTATCACAGATTACAGAGTAAGTAACCTCTGTGATCTGTGTTCAGTATCATCCACAAATAAATACAAATAATCTACCTAATTGTTTCTAAGTTGTTATTTAATTGCAGTGGCTGAATTGTAGGCCCTATTCTTCGATTTTTCCAGTGTTATGTGAACAGTGAAGTAAAGTGCACTTCAGAGAAAATAAATGGGTATTGATGCACTATTTGTTTGGTAAGAAATGTGAATTTTAATTTAATCGATTTCATCTGAAAAGTGTTGCAATTTGCCAAGTGCTGCAAAGTTAGACGATTGCCAAATAATTAGAAAACTGCTTAAATAGTTTGGAGTTTTTCGAATTCCACACGCTATTCCAAGCTGTGATTTCATGACCTAGTCCAGCTCAATCTGGCTCTTACTCGCTAGTTTTAACTTATTTGGGTTGAAACCGGCCAGTTGAATTAATCCTGAATTGGCCCAAGCAACAAAGTGTCCAAATAATTGGCACATGATGAAACAAGGTTTTTATCTAGATAATATGTGGAATTGGTGCTGTAAAACTAACACAGAAACAGAAGATTTTATTATCCAAACTAAACACAGTCCGATTTGATCAATATATCACTAAATGTGCAAGATAACAACTGCAAATCATCGACTTTTAATCGCTTGTTGATTGATTGGTTATTTTGAGAGAAACCCGTAGATATCGGGAGGAAAATTACATTTGTTATGAGAAGAAGCTAGTTCAGTTTGTGTAAGTGATCATCCAAGCTTATTTTCACTGATAAAAGAAGGACTTACCCAGAAAAACAACGAGTAATATCATGTCATGTGATGGAACATCTGGTTTGAAGGCAAAATACATTAATATCGGGTGACCCTAAATAATCTAGACATTATACTTAAGGGAAAGTACGAACATTTTCTGTTGTAAAGATGAGCAGCCATTAGCCGAAACATTCCGATGTTCAGCCTTTTTACCACACCCAAGAAGAATCAAAATCATCATCATCATCTGTGGCTTCACAACCCTGGGTGGGTTTTTGCCGACTCAACCATCCTTCTCTATCAAGCATCCGATCGGGGCCATCTTCGATATTCATGGCTTTTAGGTCTTTTGCAATATTATCTCTCCGTCTGAAGCGGGGCCGACCTAATGGACGTTTTCCCGATGGAACCTCCTCCCACACCAGTTTTCTTTTTACGTGTCCTGCCCACTGTAGTCTCCTGACCTTTATTTCGTTTATTATGCTGGTATCAGTGTGGAGTTCTTTGAGTTCTTGGTTGGGTTTTATTCTATATTGCCCTGTATTTTCGTCTCTTGTTGGGCCGAATATTTTTCTTAGCACTTTCCTTTCAAAGACCTTAAGTCGGTCTTCGCTTGCAACCGTTAGGGTTCAGGTCTCGCATCCATATATTACGATAGGCCTTATAATTGTTTTGTATATGTTCAGCTTAGTTTTTCTGGTAAGTATTCTACATTTTATTAGGTTTTGAAGAGCAAAGAAGCATCTGTTTGCAGCCTGTATCCTGTTATTTGTCTCTTCTGTGATGTCGTTGTTTTCACTAATACTTGTACCCAGATATTTAAATTATCTTGTCCGCTCAAAGTTGTAATCTCCGATATAGAAGTTTTGTCCTATTCTATCTCGGTTCCGATTATTTCTACTAAGGTACATATACTTGGTCTTGTTCTCATTTATTTTGAGGCCTATTCTTTCAGCTTCCACTCCGAACTTTATGAAGGACTCTTTGAGGTTGATCCTGCTATTGCCAATCACATCGACATCGTCTGCAAAAGCCAGGAGCAGGTTTGGTCCCTCTTAATTATTTGTCTAATGGTAAAAATCTGGTCTACGGTGGACCTATTTGTTCTAAAACCACATTGGTAGTCCCCAACAATCTCTTCGGTAAATGGTTTCATTCCCTCTAGCAGGATATTGAAGATGTTATGCATCTTATAGCATGGCTAGTTAGAAGAGTCATTCCACGATAGTTTGAGGCGAAAAAAATTGTAAAGGGTCCGATTAGGCCTTCTTCCTCTTTCAGGTTCCAACTTTAGATGGAAATCTGTATATCTCCCTAACGGTTAAAAATTTCGGATTAGTCATAAGGACCATTTCGAAAGAGTATTTCAAGAACTGTCTTTAAAACCTGGGGTTTTATTAAAAATTTCCGACCTCTAAAAAGTTAAAAGCAAAAGTTGTGTCTAATAACAGTAAACTAAATGTCTACATGTCTAAAACACCGTTTTCAATGAGCGTATCAAGAACCATCTTTGCCTCACTAGACTTTTTTACCAATTCCGTATGGTTTCGAACAGAGAAGCGAAAATGTAAAATGTTCAGGGCATGTCGGAGTTTAAGACGTTGCATTTTGGAAATGGTTTGAAATTTCTGATCGGCATTACGGTTTTTGGACAGAGCGTTTCAGGAACTCGGAAAGTCTTTGGCTCATGAGCCTTTATCAGACATTTCTAACCTCCGAAGAGATATAAGCAAAAAGTTTGGAAGCTCTCGATATTTAAAACACCCTATATCTCAGAAGCTATTGAAAATGTCGGTATAATCTTTAGGGCCTTTTACATTGAACGTCTCGGAAACTGTTTTTCCCTCACTAGACTTTAAGCAATTCCGTATCGTTTCGAAGTTAGAAGCAAAAATGTTAAATTTTCAGGTCATGTCGAAGTTTAAAAGATTACTTACATCTCGAAAACGGTTTGTAGTACCTGATCAGTCGTCATAATTTTTGCAGAGAACGTTTTAAGAAAAGTATTTCACTCCTTTCTCGTTTATTAGCATAACCTCCAAAGAGATAGAAGCAAAAATATCAAAAGTTTAGTAGCTCTCGATGTTTAAAACACCAAACCGGGTGCTAATTTGAAAACTTTCCACCCTTAATATCTTTCTTGCAGTTAAAAATATGAAAAAATCGTCAATTTTATTTGTAAGGGGGACACTTTAAATTAATATTTTTAGCCTCCTTGTTTCAACCCCTTAGGAGAGTTAGATGTCTCCCTGAGGAATCTTAAACGGGAAGTTGGGTCAAGTGTCACATGGTTTTAAAGGGCGCTCTATTCTCTTTACATTAGTTACTACTTTGTTGCTTTTTGTATAGAGGTTTTCGAATAATCGCGTTTCAAAGTTACAGAAGCAATTGAACTTGCCTGAATTGAAATTTTGATTTTCAGATTAGTGTGTAAACAAACATTATGTCATTGGGTGGTACAAATAATTTCGGTTGCATCAAAATCGTTGAGTAACAAGAAGAAAATCTAGTTTAAACAATTAATTTAAGATTGATTATTTTACAATAAAACCCATGGGGTCTACTTACGCATAATCTTATAAGTTGTTCAAAATGTTGTCTATTTTCCTGTAAACAATAATGAAGTCTATTTTCGAACCATCCCTAACATTGATAAGATATTCCCAGATAGATCGATTGGCAGTAGCGGACCAATTAAATGGCCTCTAAGATCCACCAGATTGAACACCCTTAGACTTCTTTCTTTGGAGACATTTTAAGCCATTGTTTATAAAACACAACCTGCTGACATTGATGATCTTAAAAGGCGAATTGCAGCAGAATGCCGCTCAATTCCCGGTGAAGTTTTCCGAAATGTTAGGGAAGAGTTCAAAAACAGACCTTATTATTGTTTACAGGAAAAGTGACAACATTTGAACAACTTATAATATAAGCTAAGTAGGTTTTATTGTAGAAATGTATCTTCTGCAATTAAAAAGTGAAAAAGTTATTTTGTCGATGTAAAATAATCAATAAATAAGATCAAAATCAAAAATAATAGATCAATGTTTGAACTAGATTTTCTTCCTGTTATTCAACGATTTTAACAGCTTAACCCTCTCCTGTAATCATTTGTATTACAAGGAGTCCCAATACAATTGTTTCTACAACTCTGAAACGCGATTATTCGAAAGCATCTGAACAAAAAGCAACAAAGTAGTAACTAATGTAAAGAGAATGGAACGCCCTTTGAAATTAATCGTCTCCTTCCCATTTAAGCCGCTCCTTCCCATTTAAGATTCTGAGGGTGACATCGACCCCTCCTAAGGGGTTGAAACAAGGAGGCTAAAAATATTCATTTAAAGTCTCCCTTACAAACAAAATTGACGGTTTTACTACTTTTCATATTTGTAACGGCAAGAAAGATATTAAGTAAGGGTGGGAAGTGTTCAAATTGACACCCGGTATAACTCAGAAACGGTTGAAAATATCAAATCAGTTGCATACACTTTTTCGATAGCTTTACGTGAAAACTATCTTTCACCAACTAGGTTTTTTTAAATGCATTCTTAACCTCTAAGCTGTAGAGTCAAAAACCAAGAAGCCCCCAGTTTAAGATTTTATACGGTGAAATGGTTGAATATATCCGAAAAATAATTTTAAACATTTCGATAGAACATCTGAACGACTGTCATTCACAACTTTGGGTTGATTAACACTTTTTAACCTCTAAAGGCAATGTAGCAAACATGTCTAACTTTCGAGTGTTCTCGAAGTTTAAAACCGCCTCTATCACAAAAACGGTTCGAAATATCGGATTCCTCCTAGATGCTTTTTCGATAGCCATTCTCGAGGACTATCTGTTTCGAATATGGTTTTTTGAGATATTTCTCCACCGCGCTAGAAGCAAAAACCAAAAACCCAAGCAAAAACGGCTTAGATCTTGAAAAGGGACAAAACCATTTGACGAGGCTTAAGAGCCATTTCGACTGAACGTTTCGAGATTTATCTTTTTATCCACAGGCACATGCTCCCAACACCTAACCTCTAAAGAGGTAGGCCAATTTTTTCAATTCATGAACATTTTTGATGAATTCGCGGAAACCAACCGTGTTCGAATATCGGAACATTTGGTAGATTCTGAATGGAGCGCTTTATGAATTGTTTATGTTTCGATAGATTTTTTCCGAAGTCCTTAACCTCTAAAGAAATGGAAGGCAAAATTGTCGCAGTTCTTTGATGTACTTATTTATCATTGAATAATATGAAATAAGCAAATGCATCTGCTCACATTTTATTTTTGATTGTTTTATAATACTTTGAATTGTTGTCATTTACTGGTGTGGCGTTTTTCATTGCAATGTATTAAACGGTAAACGAAGCCAAGTTTCTGACTGAAAAATCACTGATCAGCAAATAGTTGAAGTGGAATTAAATTCACGTACAGCAAACTACATTGCGTTTGTATGCGAATGCTGCTATCTCAAGTTTCAGGTTTGCCTTATTTAACATAAAGCGTATGTATTGTTCTTACACACATTTTAATGCCATCCAGATTCTCTCAACGGCAATTTTTCGACGACATTCCAACAGTTGGCTTATTTACTCTGGCCATGTTAATATCTAATTAGAATCATTACTCCGACGAAGTGTATTTTGCTTAAAAATAATTGCAATTTTCAATATTTGCTTCATGTTTTAATCATTTTCTTCCATGGTCTATGTTTGATTTCAGTGTGAAACCTGAATTCCGTTCTGAGAATTTTAAAAATATCCCATTATCAATATAAATAACCTTTCAACGCCCAATTGTGTGAATTGATAAAGTTGCCGTCAAGTGAAAACAAGCGTCTTTTTTGCATACTTTCGATACTTCCTAATCACTCCCGGGAAAGGAAGCATGCTTCAATCGTATAATGGAAACTTTACTAGCTAGGTATGTTTTTGAATTATCTTCTACTGTTGATTGTGCTTGTTTAATCGCCACTGCATGTTGTTTGGAATGTATCGTGTTTCCATTTCAGAGATCGAATTCACTCTATTCATAAACCAATAGTGAATTCGGATATTCACTCACTGTACACATTTATCATGGACTCCGTATTCATTCAATATTTTTGAAAGCAGGCAAATTCATTCCACGTAAATTTCATGTAAGGTTCACCTACAAAAGGCCACTTTCACTCCAAAATGATTGTTTGTTGTTCTCAATTTTTATGTGTAGTTTGCAAATGCGTAAGTATGTTTATTCGTTTAAGTCCGTCACTGCATTTTTGTGAAAACAAAATCAACAAGTTCCACTTTGCATAATTTGGAGGGTTCTTGAGCATTTTAGAGCAGAAATATGGTTTTATTTTTCCATGTTTGGCTCACTTTCCTAAAGGTTAATACTGTTATGTTGGTATTTCTGCTAACGCCATCAAAGTCATCTTCGGAAGTGCTCTTTTTGTTGTTATCGGTGTGCACACAAACAAGTCGGTGTTATTGAGTTCTTTCCTATTTTCCAGGTATCAACAAAAAATTGGAACATATGACAAACAGCTATGGGAGACGAGAATAGAGCAAAGGGAGCACCGAATTTATGGGCTGAACCACATTCAAATGCGCTCCGCCAAAGACAACACCGACTTGATTGATCTGGACTTAGTCAGAGGTAGGGAACCGAAGGATTTTAATATTTAAATTAATTTATTTTCTTTTCTTTTCTGCACATGGGACTGGAAATTTCTGATGTCTATTAGGAGTGAAGCTCCTCTTAGATATTGATGAAATTTTTTTATACCAAAACTTTACATAAACGAGCGTTTAAAATAATCCGTAGGCTGTTTCCAGTTGTCTTCTATTTGAATTAGATCAATTGGACATTTTTTGTGGCCGACTGAAGGGGCGTCCAGACCTGACAATCCGAGCCTGAGCAGCGGCAAAATTCCTTTGAAGTTTCGTCGAAACACCAACACACGATTCTTTTTTGATTACGCACTATATTTTCTCATCTAGCTAGATAGTTTCAACCCTTTTCGAGATATGAATTGTTAAATACTTTCGAACTCAAAAGTTGACAAAGCGCGAAAGTGTTTTACCCAAACATACCCTATTTTAGCGCCATTTTAAACCTTGACTGATGTTATGAATGTTCACTTGCAGGTTCTTCGTTTACCAAAGCCAAGCCCCAACATGGGTTCGTTAAGGTGGCAAGGATGGCGACGTTCAGATGCTTCCTGATGCCATTCTATGCCAAATGGTGGATCCGACAAACCTCCAGCATATTCTTTGCCTTTATTTTGTTCCTTTACATCGTACAAACGGTGAATGTGGCGTTTTTCTACATGTTCACGCAAAGTTCGGCTCCGAATCCTCTGGAGGTAAGTTTCGGCAGCGGAAGCAGGGCCGGGGGCATGTCAATAGGACGCTTTCAGGGCATTTCCTGGATGGAAGTGGTTGTGCCGCTGCTGATGGCTTGGCTTTTGAGCCTCATCCATTCGCAAATAGTCGCCACTATTCCCGATAAGCAAAAGAGCCGCTCTGCAGCCAGCAAAAAGCTGCATTTTGCCGATGAAATCAACAGCGGCAGCAACGGGAGAAGGTAAGAACAGTATGAAGATGTTTGAGTTATTTACCGCCAAGCTTACGGCTTAGGTCTTCGCGCGTCAGCAAAGTTCCTTTGGATCTTCAGTTCAAGTCCTACTCGCTTAGGCGCAAATACAGGCAAGTTAATGCGGTGAAAATTGCCGCATTTGATGATGTATAGGAGTGAATTAATAGTAACATGTGCTGAAGGTCTTGGTTTAGGAAACGTACGATAGACGATGATGGTTTTGAGAGTCTGGTTGGAAACGGATCGAGAACAAGCGAGGACGAAAACAGTGGCAGCAAACCAATTCGTGGTAAAAGCAAACGGTTTTAGTTAACGTGGCATTTTATGTGGGGATTTTAGTGGTTTCCAGTTCACCCACGTCGATCAAACCGGAGGTATTTGAAGCCAGCGACGTGCCTGAACCAGGCGAACCTGCGGCTGTTCAGGAACCCATTTGTATTCACTGTAGTAGAGGTAAGTTTTGTTTTTCTAATGTTGGTTATGAATAAATCGGAAATATAATATGGAAAAAATTGCTGAAATCTGAGAAAGAAGCTCGTTTTAACAAACGAAATAAATCGTGAAATATTTGCAGTCAGAAAGAGCCCTAGTTGGTGCCAACCAAAAAATCGCTATATAAAGTCCGCAAAAACCGCTATATAAAATCCACTATAAATGCTAAATAAATCCGCAAAAATCGCCTTATAGAATGTTCAAAAACCTCCTTATAAAATTCGCAAAAACAGCTATATAAATTCCACATATGCCTATTAAGAAATGGGTAAAGCTGCACATGCGAGTAGCCTGAATGTTACAAAATTGAAACTACAACCCTGGTTGCCATCTACTTCTACAAAATGAGATCCGGATCCAGATCCCTGAAATTTCCTAAAAAGTCGATTTTTTCTTCAAAAAGTCAACGCCTTTTTATGGCTGTGTTTAGATTTGAAAGAACATCTGCCAGTTTGAGTAATCTTGATCTGGACCACATTCCCGCCAGGGTAAAGGGCGCTGGACGGCAAAAAACGCCGGAAGGATTCTGGCCTCTGAAATTCCCAGATATGATTTGCATTGCAAACAAAATCTCTTTCGAGTGTTAAATTTGGAAAAACAGGGCGAAATCTCAATGAGGTGGCCAGAATCACTTAGGACGCTATCCACGAGACCAGGGGCGGATCCAGCTTTCGAGTCAGGGGGGGTCAAGTACTAGAAATTCAGTTTTTTGTTGTCTATGAAATTAGAAAAATTATCGATAGTCGTTATAAACCCAGCACAAGGGGGGGGGTCATGACCCCTCATGACCCCCATGACCCCCCCTGAATCCGCCCTTGCACGAGACCATCACAAACTTAAGATTCACCTACCTTTAGGCACTTTGGTCTGGATTCTGGGTTAAATGTAGCATTCAAGACAGCGACAAATTTGAAACACAGCAGAAAATACTAATAGTCAAATTTACTTGGGAGACAAAGATGTGTTCGTTGAAATAGACCCTAATGTAAAGTTTAAATTGTAAAAGTGACTGTAGACAGCCTGATTAGTTAATATTGAAAAACTGCGTAAAAACAATTCAAATTTCTAGAATTCTTGCTGAAAATACAGAAATAATTTAATTCAGATGAATAATTTACAGAAGGAAATCATCAGTAAATGACACAAATTATCCGCAATAGCAGTTGACCGTAATCTTATATTTAAATTGGAAAAGTGACTGTGGACAACCTGACTAGTTAATAATGAAAAGGTGTAAAAATAATTCAAATTTTAAAAATGCCCATTGAAACTACAGAAACCGTTTAATCGAGACAAGGAAGACAATAAAAAGGGAAATTTGCAGCTGAACGCTTCTTGTATTATATCCGCTTTAGAATTTTATTCATTTATTGTACAGAATATAAATTTGAGAAGTTTAAAAAGCCAATCCACAATCCAGAAACTCCCTCGTCGTTCTTCGTGGAATAAATTTTATAACAACAATATAATAAAATACAAAAGTAGAAATGAGACTAAAAGGCTTCATGGTAACCAGGGGCAAAGTAATGCCAAACTTACCAAAAGCGGCATTGTGCCACCTGGAAAGAAATAAGAAAAGTCTTTAGTACAAGGAAAAAGTATCCAAAGATCCAGTTAGTAGAAAACCGCAAAAGAAGCACGAAAATGTCGCAAAACATCTGCTGAATCTCAAAAATCACAACTCAGTTGAAGCTAAATGGTTTATAGATTAGACATTGTTCTTACCAGCTTTCTGCAAGCTGGCGCCCATCCTCAACTCTTCCAGTAGGTATCCCGTATCCACAGGAATGTTACTCACTTTTCACGAAAGCTCCCTTTAAATAAACGATAAATTTCAACTATGAACGCGAAAGAACTGGAAAACTATTTCGTTCATTGCCAGGCTCAAACTGACTATTTAGGCGAATCTCAGGCGAATGGTCGAAAAAATCCCGGCGATATTGGTGATATAATCGTTTGCTCGATCGTACCTTCGAAATCTCATCGTTTAAATTTGCTGTTTTTTTGCGTGTGTTCGTTTTCTTTGTCCTTTTCAAGGGCAACTTTCACGTTCAAATCTGTTTGGATGATCGCCATATAACAATAACAAATACCTCGGCCAAAGATAAACAACTCCGATTAGGGGCGCAATGGACTTTTATTTGAAATTCTATGGCAGAAGTTGAAAGAGAGGCACAAATTCTGGACAAACGTTCCACTTATGTATGCACATTTACTGAGTCACCAGATTGCAAATAATTTGCGAATTTCGAAAAAAAACAGTTTTTAATACCGCGATTACTGACAAACTGACGGGGATCAAATTGCAACTGACTTCTAATCATTTCCTCACCCACCATTTTTTTAGATTATTTGTCTCGCTTTTGCACAAATCAATGGCATAGATTTGTCCTACTCTACGTTTCACCCAGTACCAAATTTCCCACAATTCCTTTGCTCACATTAGTTCCAATACTTAAATTGTTTTTATGAAACTGGGCATTCTGGAAGTTGGATACATTGTATAAAGGGTTGCCTCAATACCAGATTCATTTTCAAGCCTTGTGAATGCTTTTCGTTGCTTCCAGCATTAAGAACGACGGAATGCTTAACTTCAACAACGTAATATTGGTTGTAGGTTGTGCGGAAATGGCAGATCCATGTTCAAGACTTGCCATGTTTTGTGCATGCTTTCCTTTGCTCTCACTATTAAGAGCGACTGAATGTTTAACTTGACTTTGACCTGAGCTTCAGCCCTTTGCTCGATTTTCATGAAACTTTCAGCTCTTTCAGCTTGATGCTTGGCTTCATGTGAGTGTTCTAGAGAAACACAGGTTTTAGTTCGATCGTCAGGGTAGATTCGAAGCCGTATTTTTATTGCAAGTTACTGTTCTTGAGATGAGAATTTCAGATGTTTGTTGTTCACTTTTCTTTTTCACTCTAACGGGTCTTTTAATTTTTTCCATTATTACACTTGATGTCTGGTGCGTTCTCTAAACTACTTTTGTCGTCCCCAAATCAGCCCACATGTTATAGAAGCCTTTACTGTTGTTAGCAAGGAATTGAAAACATTTACAGCTATTTGAACATGGTTGGTACAAGCCTTTTAAAACAATCAGAAGCGGATTAAGACCTTTGTGAGCTCAAGAAAAATCACTTGTGATAATGGTTTGAAGACAATAAAATAGTCAAATACACTGTGGGTACAAATAATTGCATAAGGGTACGTTGATGCAGGCAGTCAAGAAGATCAATCTCTTGAAGAAGCCAACTCAAATTGCACGTCTTGCCTCAAGTGTAAGAACTGGGTGAAACATTTGGATACGAGCGTGGTGAAATCGTTGAGCTGCACCGATTCGGAAAGCGAAAATGAGGACATCTTTAACTTCAAAAAGCCGAGCCTGGTAAGCGTGGCTGCATCCTTTAAAAAGAAGGCTTCTATCTATTTCCTATTGGTTTGGTTGCAGCCGAAGAGGCGCAGCTCTACAGTGCCCACAATAGCGATTACTTCGGCTGTTGATAGCAATTGCGATACAGAGAATGAGGCCTGCGCTTCGCCTCGAGATTGGACTGGTTGGTTTTTTTTGCGGGTTTAAAACATGTTAATTTAGATGAATTATCGCAGGAGTCACTACAAATAGTGAAGATTGCAGTAGTGATTTGGATGATGTGTCCGACGCTGCCCCAGTGGATCGATCTAATTTTTTTGTAGCGGATGGGGACGCTAATGTCTTCCTCAATCCACCTTCGGTTAAAGGTGAAAATGTCCCTGAGAATCTCAAATCAAGGCCCGAAAAACTAATCAGTTGTACATGTTTGTTCCTCCAGCTAGTTGCATGATTTACGAGAGAGACGATATAAAAAAAGCCGACCTATCGATGTTGGACATCAGTTCGATTATCATTGGTAAAGTTGCGGCCATGCAGTCCACTCCCGACTACTTCTACGCCGGAATCGTCGTGTCCACGCTGTTGGCTCTTTTGCCTCTGCTCTGCCGTTTAACAGACGACGGAGGAGACGCGAAAAATCTATGGGAAGCGTGCAGAAATTGCTCCTATCGCCTGATGCTATCCGACTCGCCCCTAGATGCCATGCAAGTTGTTGTCGAAGAACTGCCCAAGAGGCTCCAAGAGTTTCTGGTCGTTGCGTTTGGAACATCGCCATGGTAAGTGCAAGGGCGCAAGCAATTCCTATGATGGGTCTATCTGTGGCAACTTGATGCGAACATTTTTCTGAAGGTTATTTTGGATTTAAATCATGTTTCGTGAACGAACACCCATTTAATATTACGCTAACATTGGTTGGTTCCACTCTCTGAATACCAAAGCTCAAAGAGCATTGATATAATATGGATCTTGTTTGCTTTAATAGGGAGCGTTATATCGTCTTAATTGCCATGATCCAACGATTTATCTTCGCTTGCATGATTTTCTTCCTGCTGGTGGTAGCTGAGCGAACCTTCAAGCAGCGACTTCTCTATGCCAAACTGTTTTCTCGCTTGACTTCGTCTAGACGGGCCCGAAAGTCTGCAATTCCCCATTTCCGTCTCAATAAAGTGAGTATCCTTCAGCATCAACTGGGGCTGGTAAAATTCAAAACACTCTTCAGGTACGCAACATCAAAACGTGGTTATCGGTGCGATCCTACTTAAAGAAACGCGGCCCTCAGCGATCAGTGGATGTGATAGTTTCGACCGCTTTTGTTGTCAATTTACTGCTGCTCGCTTTTCTTTGTGCGGAACTACTGAAGGTGAGCTTGCAAATAGCTGGAAGCGATAATTGTCACTGATTTACTACGAATAATTTAGGAGACAGTGTCATTTTCGCAATACTATCTGGAGGCTCTGATCTGGTGCGTTGGCTTGGGGGTGATGTTGCTCAGATTCATCACTTTAGGCACCAAAATCAACAAGAAATACCGGAACCTTTCGGTACTGATCACCGAACAGATCAACTTACATCTGCAGATCGAGCAGAAGCCGCATAAGAAAGACGAGTTGACCGTTGCCAACAACGTTCTGAAGCTGGCCATTGATTTGCTCAAGGTAATTGCCACTTGTTCTACTATTGAAGCTATAAATGTTATTTTACTGCTCTATTTAGGAGCTGGAAAACCCTTTCAAGATATCCGGCCTGTCCGCCAACCCGATTTTATACAACGTGACCAAGCTAGTGATTTTGTCCGCTCTTTCAGGAGTGCTGTCGGAAATGTTGGGTTTTAAGCTAAAGTTACACAAAATCAAGCTGAAGTAATGCTTTCAGCTTGAATGCAACAATTGTTCAAAAAAATATGCCATTTTAGCTTCTAATACAAGACACGACGTGTGCAGCTCGGTACCCACTCTACTTGATCTTTTCTTTGGGAAAAACGCGATTTATTGCTTGTTTAGACTAGAAAACAGTGTGTGAAACTAGTTTATTATAGTCAAATTTTCTTTGTACGATGAGTTGTGATTTATCGGCAAGCACAGGGCAGAAATAGATTCTGTGATCTTTCTAGTTGCAAAGTCAACGTTCTATTAGTCCTGCGAGTTTAAGCATATGAACATTGTAAGTGTATTATATCCTATAGGGAAGCAGGGAGGTTTTAACTTAAATATTTGGATGTATATCCGTGTTAACGTTTTTCTTTTTAATTGGTAATGTTTCCAGACGATATTCAAGTCAATATGCTTAAGACTCGTGGACCCTTAATTAAGCAAAGTGCGTTACTAGCGGCACGATTTAAAGTGCAAATTTCTAGTGATAATAAATGTGATTTATCGTATCCAGATCTGGATACCAACATAGTAGTGTTCTAAGTGTTCTGAGCGCAATCGGCTCGTTAATGWTTTTGATTCCTATTATACGAATAAAGTTTAGTCGTCTTATCAGTTGAACGACTTTAGTTTTATTTTCCCTTAACATTTCCAGGAGTTTTCTTGCGAGTCAGTATCTAGGAAATAAAACATATTCTTGGACTGGATTGAACTTGAGGATTGTTTTGAGCTGGCACTCAACTTTTCCTCTTCCAGATCAGTAAAACTTTCTTGCAGATACTCCGTTTGTGCTGCGGCGTTTTTCTGGCAATAAGGCTCAGGTTTCCGCAGAAAATCTTGCAAGGAAAACACGTTCTCTAAAGGTGCCGCAGTTTCTTCCAGCTGAAGAATCTTTGGCAAGCCTACATTGGGCGGTCGACGCTCTTCTATGAAGTACTTCTGGGTATTTTGATTCTGATGGGTTTGTTGCAAGAAGTCGAAGTAATCCAACTGCGATTCGGTTGCCTGGAAGGTTACATCTTCAGCCCTTGCCTGCTCCTGAAGATTTTCAACAGGCTTCTGGTGTATTGCCAAGCATTTCCCTAACTCGCCCAAATAATCAGTAGAAATGCTTGTTTCTTTGAAACTTTCTATAGTTTCCACCAGTGCATCTACAGCTTCCCCCAGAGCTACGTAGACCATCAAATACTTCTCCTGGCTGATGGATTTTAGGGCAGTAGCTATAATTGTTGAAGAAGTAGAGGAGGTAGAAGCTACTTCTTCAGGCACTTGACGGTCTTGGAAAAATGGATCGTAGTTGGGATCGACGTATGCGTACAAGTCTACATCCTATCAAGCAGAAGGAATTTACTCATTCACGGTATTGCTGATGGAAACTACTGAAAGAAACTTGGAAGAGTCGGAAAATATGAATAAGCTAAACAAAAAAATAATAAACAACTAATAAAATAACAAAAACTATGACTTGAGAAATTGAGAAAAGCACTTGAAGAAACGGACAAGACCAGAAATGTCTTGAAGAAAGCAAGTCATAGAGCGAACATGAAGATTCAGATTAAACGACTGGTTTCGGAAGCAACTTAAATCAAAGAGACTTACGATTTGACGAAACCCTACCTGCTTATTCTGCTTAACACTCTTCTGGCTCTTTTGCGACTTTTTCGCGTCGCTAACGTCCGATTTGGCTGTCCCCGGTTTCTTAGGGGTCTCCTCTTTGCTAAAATAAGCTTTAAAAATCTTCTTGGCATCAGAGCTTACAATTCCCCGAACAAGCGCCGATTTCGGTTTCGTGTTTGAAGATCCCTCCGCTCTGCTGATTCTCTTCGTTCGTAAGATGTACGTTTCTTCAGACAGTTCAAAGACTAGTCGATCTGGCAGTAGAGGTTGTTTGACGCACTTGTTGATGTAGTTTTGCGTATTATCAAGTGGTTCATCCAAGTCGGTCAGTTTGTCGAATGCTTTCATCAAGTAGGTCTTCAAAACGGTGAAGCAAAACAGGTATTTTTTGCGTTCTTTGTTGGTGTAAATTGAAGGTTTTTCCAGTTTTTGCAATAACTCACAGAGTTTGCTGTGAGAGCTGGGAATTTGCGGATGACCAGATAATTCTGGTGCTGCAGCTAGGAAAAGATCATTTTTAATTTGGAAATAATCTAGTCGGTTTTTATGCGAAAAATTGAGGCTTATTCGCACGTCAAAACTCAAAAGTGAAGCACGTCTACTGTTAAGTTTAATTTAACGCAAAAACACATCTGTTTCGTTATTAGTACGATTCTGGGACGTTGTTCATATGTACTTACAACGTATATACATGCAATGTTGCCGCTTAAAACATAGCTTATTGTGAAAACATCAGTTTTTACAATACGTACCTACTAGAAAATCCAAAAAAACCTTACCTTTATCAGCCTCCTTCGGCCTTTTAGACTTCTGGCTTCCTTCCTTAGATCTGGCTTTTACATCCGAAGCTTCTTGCAGCATTTTCCTGCCCTCCTTCGCCTTCTTGTACAACTCTAGCCTGTTTTCAAAGTACATAAGCAAATCCCTTTTTCTGGAAATTTCCACCAATTTTCCAATGGAAAGATCCCATTCATCCGGGTCCTTCTGAAGCCGGATCTCCCGATAAAACTCCCTCAACTCATCTACCACTGCAGAGTTGAAAACGTATTGASCCGATTGTTTGCAGAAGGTTTCCTCCAAGTTGGCGCTCTCAAATAACTCCCGTTCGCTGAAGTTATATARAGAGCTTGTGGTTGGGTTGCAGTAGTTGACTTTAGTTATGGCCGCATTGAGCACATCTTTTACACAGGTGTCGCGGATTCTTTGCCGCAATTTTTCAGTTAGTTCATGCATGCGAAGGTCCAAGTCCTTAATGAAAGCGAAGCCTTTCAGCAGGATGGTAAACCGGAAGTTTTCGCTCCAGATTCGGGGGATGGTGTGGATTTCCCAGTATTCAAAGTGGTTTCCTGGATGGTTCATGCGGAACCAAATTGGGAGCTCGTGTTTCATCCCAGGAGGCAATAGAAGCTCCCTCTTGTCGAACGTGAAAGGGTGAAAAATGTAAGTTTTCCCGGTAAATTCCCGAAATATTTTGAGTTTCTCATATTGCCTCCACAGGATCCTCAAAGCTACTTGGCCGGAGTTTTCCAAAGTTACACATCGCTCAGCGGGAACTTTTTCACCAACAAAGTGTTCGAATATTAAGCTAATCTCCCTGTCCTTGCTAGTGAATTCATCCACTTCTTTTCCGTTGATTTTCAAGCGGATGTTACTGATGGGGGCTGGAGGCGGGCTCATGGACACCCTGGGGCTTTCCAGACCTTCGACCGGCTCTTTATCCTCTTCGTGTGCTTGGTTCGAGCCAATAATCATGAGGTTTAAGTCGGGTTTAAGCGGGACGATTTGCTGCAGTTTTTCGCTGGCTAGTTGGACGGTTTGTTGACGATATTTGCTCTCAGTCCAGAGGTTTTTCAGACATCTGGAACAGAATGAGTGAAGGATTTTCTACATACGCCCCAATTACCCACCGGGTTCTAGGCAGCAGATTTTTCTCCTCCAAAATCCTGCTGGGCACACCCACATGAGTCACTTCAGGGATTTCGTTTTTCTCCGGCCTGGACTTTACTGCAAAATACTCAGAGCTTTTAAAGGGAGGCTCCCGATTCTTTAAGGAAACCGGCAACTTCCAAAAATCTGGATTGCCTCTGTACTTATCAAAGTTGGTGTTTATTTTCCGGTACTCCAGAACCTGTTTTTCCTCCATAATCGAGCGATAATCATCACCGCTGTTCATCAGCAGATCGCCTGGAAGACAGTGCCGGTTCTGAGCCAGTTTTTCGTGCATTTTCTTGCGTCTCTTCATCCACAGCTCCCAGTTCTTCAAGTGGTCCGGGCATTTTTCCTTATCTTCGGGATTCAACTTCAACCCGCATAAGCAAAGGCATGCGTCTGCTGGGCTAGAGTGAGTGTTCTGAGAGGAGGATCGGGCATGTGACATAGTTAGATGTCAACTGCTGGCAGTTGAGGAGGTTTGAGTGCGTTCGCGATGGTCAAAACGAAAGGTTGAAAGTTGATTTTATAAAAAAATGCCTGTTTAGGTGCTTGAGTTCTTTTTATACGAGAAAAACATGATGATATAATTGCAGTTTACCAAAGTCTTCCAATAGTTTGATGATTTTTGATCAGCTTTAACTTCAAGACATTCTTTTTAAAAAATAAAATCTGTGTATTTGCTAAGACTAGAAACAGCCGACTCAGTGCTGCTCAGAAAGTCCTTGTTGCTGAGTTTGGCTCGCTTGAAAAGGCACTCGACAGCTAGCTGCTTCTGAGCTTTCATCAGCTTCCTCCTTTCATCGACTTCTTTGGAGTAGAGCAACTGAATGCGGTAGATCTGCGTGATTTTCTCGCCAATGTCCTGAACTGGAGCTGGAAGCAAAGTGGAATACTTGGAGGTGGATGGGAGGATGTGGAAGATGTGTCTCTTGCTGATAGGCTGTACTGGTCTGAAATTCCTCCTGATCAATTCATCCTCATTGTCCAGCAGGAATCGCAGTGAGTCCATCTGAATTGGACAGAGTTCTGGATATTTACGCTGGATATGCAAAGGAACCTACTTGATCAGGGGAAATTCCGATGGGAACCCGCGTAATCATCCACATGATCGGATGGACGCAGTCGGAAGTGCAAACTGAACCTCTGTAAATGAAATAGTCAGCTTCAAACTGAGTCATCAAGTACAGCAGCTCAGTTGGAGGAACTTTGGCTGAAGTGTGCGCTTTGGCGATGGCTGGCAAAGCGTCTACAATCGGTTGCAAATTGGGATTTGGAGGATCTTGCAGCTGGAACCTTAAGCACTTTGGGGGCAGTTCAACCAGCTACAATAAGCTTACGTTCAGGATATACACGAGTATCACTACACCATCTCTTTCCTTCAGTGCGGCCTCCTGAGTCAAGTAGCAGCTCTTGAATAGAACCACGTGTAATTCTCCTGGGAATTGTCGGCCATCTATGGTATGCTCGCTCCCTTCCATGTCATTAGCGCCCCAATGGAGATGCAGTTGAGAAAACACGTATTTTCCTGATAGCACGCCACTGGTTATGTACGGTCTCTCTTGGCCCCATTTTGCACTAAGTATTACTAAATGAATACGGCATTGGATGCTGATACAATTCAGAATAATTAATGAATTTTATAGCGACACTAGAAGAAACATTGTGAATAGGAAATTAGTTGGTTTACCAGTATGTCCGGTGTTGGTAATTTTCATCTTCTTCGGTGGAGAATCGTAATTAACCCAGCTAAGCGGCGGCGCTAAATCAACAGGAATTACCTTCGAAATGTTAATATCAATGGGCGATTCATGCAATTCTTCACTTTCCAGAACTTCGCAGACGTTCTTCAGATTATCGATCGTTTGATGGTCATCAATTGATTCTGGTGGAAGAGAAACAAATGTACAAAGCTCGTGTTGCAAGTAGGACGTGAAGAAGAGGCTTACCAGCGGACGTTGGATGGAATGACATGATTGATGATGAGAAGGCGTTATGAAACGTGAATTTTAGTTGTAGAAGAGCCGATGAATGATTCCGATCATCCAATTGACAGGAAATGTGGCACTTTTGAAGGTTGACCATGTCACAATGAGACTAAATTTTGTGGGGCGCAGAAGCTCTTCAAGAAACCAGGAAATTTATTGCAATGTGCTGACGATACTGCTTTTATTGTGGAAGGCACAAATGCAGATGAGCAGAGTTCAAATTCAGAACAAACCTTTTACGAATGAAGATTTTTTCACCATTTCATGTTCGACAAGAGGGAGCTTCGCAGCTAAACCGGGAAGTCACAAATTGGTTCCGAATAAACCATCCAGGAAACCACTTTGAATAATTAATAAATTCATACTTTTCCCAGAATCTGGAGCAAATGTTTCGATTTACCATCGTGCTGAAAGGCTTCGTCTTCACTAGGGACTTGAAACTTAAAATTTTTACGTTGATATCCCATCAGGATTTCGTCTGATCGAGTAGGTTCCCTCCTATCTCCAGCTCCAACATCCAAATCTGTGCGCATTCCAGATGGGCTCAATGCGATTGCTGCTGTCGATTGCTATGATCAGCAATCGACACATTTTCCACTTTGCTTCCTGCGCCAATTCAGGATATTGGCGACAAAAAACACGCAGATTTGCTCCGGATGCAGCAGAGTGCTGTTGACTGTTTTCAGATGAATCAAGCTTAACAACATGGACTCTATTTAAAAAAACACGAATTTTATCTTTTCAAAAATATTTTTACTTCAAAACTCGACTTACTCGGAAAGTATGAGTTTTTTGTGCATAGAACACCCGGTTAATAATGTTCATTCAATAAATTGAGGAAAAATTATCAAACTCGTCAGATTTTGGGAACATATGAAATCCAAATGTGCTCCGAATTAGACAATCTTGCTGCTTTATCGAAAGCACTAAAGCACCGAAAGAAGCATTTTTGTTTTTTTTAAGCCTTCAATCATCCGATTTGGCCATCGAAGACGCACTCAAGCCTCCACAAGTCTCCTGAACTGCCAGTATCTGATACATGCCCGATCCTCCTCTCAGAACATTAACTTTAGCCCTGCAGTCGCATTCCTCTGCTTACATGGGTTGAAGTTGAAACTCGAAGATAAGGAAAATACCCGGACCACTTGAAAAACTGAGAGTTGTGGATGAAGAGGCACGAGAAACTGGCTCTTCCTGGTGATCTGCTGATGAACAGAGGTGATAATTATCGATCGATTATGGAGGAAAAGTGGTGGTTGAGTACCGGAAAATAATCACTAATTTCGATAAGTACAGACGCAATCCCGATGTTTGAAAGTTGCCGGTTTCTCTAAAAAATCTCCAGCCTCCCTTTAAAAGCTCTGAGTATTTTGCAGTTAAGTCCAGGACGGAGAAAATCGAAATCTCTGCAATACTCAAGTGAATGTGCCCAGCAGGATTTTGGAGGAGAAAGATCTGCTGCCTAGAACCCGGTGGGTAATTGAGGCGGAAGAAGAAAATCCTTCACTCATTCTGTTCCAGATGTCTGAAAAACCTCTGGACTGAGAGCAAATATCGTCAACAAACCGTCCAACTAGCCAGCGAAAAACTGTAGCAAATCGTCCCTCATTAACCCGACTTAAACTCATGATTACTGGTTCCAATCAAGCAAACGAAAAGGATAAAGAGCCGGTCGAAGGAATGTTAAGCCCCAGGGCGTCCATGAGCCCATCTCCAGCCCCCATTAGTAACATGTGCTTAAAAATCAACCCAGCTCGAACATCCAAATCTGTGCCCATTCCAGATGGGCTCACTGCGATTCCTGTTGGCAAATGAGCATGAATTGATCAGTTAAGTCTATGATCAGCCATAGACACATTTTCGACTTTCCTTCCTGCTCCAATTCAGAATATTGGCGAGAAAAGCAGGCAGATTCGCTGAAGAAGCAGCAGAGTTATGTTCACTGTTTTTTACGATAAATCAAGCTCATCAACATGGACTTTCTGCGAGAAGCTGAGTCGCTGTTTCCAGCCTAAGCAAAAACGCAGATTTTATTTTTTCAAACGGATTTTTTTTAAACCGACCGACTCAGAAAAGATTAGATTTTAGCATTGAACTCCCGGTTAACAATGGGGCGTTCATTCAATAATTTGAGGAAAAATTATCAGACTCGTCAGATTTTGGGAACATATGAAATTCAAATGTGCGCCGAATTAAACAATATTTTGCTACTTTATAAAAAGAACTAAAGCACCGAAAGAAGCATTTTTATTTTTTTAAAAGCCTTCAATCGTCCGATTTGGCCATCGAAAACGCACTCAAGCCTCCACAAGTCTCCTGAACTGCTAGTATCTGATACATGCCCGATTCTCCTCTCAGAACATTCACTTTCGCCCTGCAGTCGCATTTATCTGCTTGCACAGGTAGAAGTTGGAACTCGAAAATAAGGAAAAATGCCCGGACTACTTGAAGAACTAAAAGCTGTGGATGAAGACGCACGAGAAACTGGCTCTTCCAGGTGCTCTGCTGATGAACAGAGGTGATAATTATCGGTCGATTATAGAGGTAAAGAGGTGCTTGAATATAATGAAAATAATCACTAAGTTTGATAAGTACAGACGCAATCCGATGTTTGAAAGATGCAGATTTCTCTAAAAAATCTCCAGCCTCCCTTTAAAAGCTCTGAGTATTTTTCAGTTAAGTCCAGGACGGAGAAAATCGAAAGATACTCATGTGGGTGTGCCCCGAAAGATTTTGGAGGAGAAAAAAGGAAGAAGGAACGAAGAAGAAGGAGAAAGGACGATCTGCTGCCTTGAACCCGGTGGGTAATTGGGTCGGAAGAAACTCCTTCACTCATTCTGTTCCAGATGCCTGAAAAATCTCTGGACTAGGCGCAAATATCGTCAACAAATCTAGCCAGCGAAAAACTGCAGCAAATCGTCCCCCATAAAGCCGACTTAAACCTCATGATTATTGGCTCCAACCAAGCACACGAAGAGGATAAAGAGCCGGTCGAATGTCTGTTGAGCCCCAGGGCGTCCATGAGCCCGCCTCCAGCCCCCATCAGTAACATCCGCTTGAAAATAAACGGAAAAGAAGTGGTTGAATTCACTAGCAAGGAGCGATGTGTAACTTTGGAAAACTCCGGCCAAGTAGCTTTGAGGATCCTGTGGAGGCAATATGAGTGAAGAGAAGTGAAAACTGACATTTTTTACCCTTTCACGTTCGTTTCTATTGCCTCCCGGGATAAAACACGAGCTCTCAATTTGGTTCCGCATGAAGCATCCAGGAAACCACTTTGAATACTGCGAAATACACATCATCCCCCGAATCTGGGGCGAAAACTTTCGATTTACGATCGTGCTGAAAGGCTTCACCATCATTAAGGACTTGGACCTTCGCAACCATGAACTAACAGAAAAATTGCGACAAAGAGTCCGCGACACCTGTGTAAAAGATGTGCTCAGTGCGGCCATAAGTAAAGTCAACTACTGCAACCCAACCACAATCCCTCTATATAACTTCAGTGAACGGGAGTTATTTGAGAGCGCCAACTTGGAGGAAACCTTCTGCAAACAATCGGCTCAATACGTTTTCAACTCTGCAGTGGTAGATGAGTTGAGGGAGTTTTATCGGGAGATCCGGCTTCAGGAGGACCCGGATGAATGGGATCTTTCCATTGTAAAATTGGTGGAAATTTCCAGAAAAAGGGATCTGCTTATGTACTTTGAAAACCGGCTAGAGTTGTACAAGAAGGCGAAGGAAAGCAGGAAAATGCTCCAAGAAGCTTCGGATGTAAAAGCCAGATCTAAGAAAGGAAGCCAGAAGTCTAAAAGGCCGAAGGAGGCTGATAAAGGTAAGTTTTTTGGATTTTCTAGTAGGTACGTATTGTAAAAACTGATGTTTTTACAATAAGCTATGTTTTAAGCGGCAACATTGCATGTATATACAAGTACGTATGAACAACGTCCCAGAAACGTACTAATAACGAAACAGATATGTTTTTCCGTTAAATTAAACTTAAAAGTAGACGTGCTTCACTTTTGAGATTCGACGTGCGAATAAGCCGCAATTTTTCGCATAAAAACCGACTAGATTATTTCCAAATTAAAAATGACCTTTTCCTAGCTGCAGCGCCAGAATCATCTGGTCATCCTCTAATTCCCAGCTGTCACCGCAAACTCTGTAAATTATTGTAAAAACTCGAAAAACCCACGAATTGCACCAACTAAGAACGCAAAAAATACCTGTTTTGTTTCATCGTTTTGAAGATCTACTTGAGGGAAACATTCCACAAGCTGGTCGACTTGGATGAACCACTTGATAGTACGCAAAACTACATCAATAAGTTCTTCAAACAACATCTACTGCCAGATCGACTAGTCTTTGAACTGTTTGAAGAAACGTACATTTTACGAACGAAGAGAATCAGCAGGGCGGAGGGATCTTCAAACGCGAAACCGATATCGGTGCCTGTTCGGGGAATTGTAAGCTCTGATGCCAAGAAGATTTTTAAAGCTTATTTTAGCAAAGAGGAGACCGCTAAGAAACCGGGGACAGCCAAATAGGACGTTAGTGATACGAAAAAGTCGCAAAAGAGCCAGAAGACTGTTAAGCAGAGTAAGTAGGTAGGGTTTCGTCAAATCGTAAGTGTCTTCGATTTAAGTTGCTCCGGAAACCAGTCGTTTATTCTGAATCTTCATGTCCGCTCTATGACCTGCTTTCTTCAAGACATTTTGTGGTCTTTTCCGTTTCTTCAACCTTCAACCCATCAGAATCAAAATACCCAGAAGTACTTCATAGAAGAGTGTCGACCGCCCAATGTTGGCTTGCCAAAGAATCTTCAGCTCGAAGAAACTGCGGCACCTTTAGCGAACGTGTTTTCCATGCAAGATTTTCTGCGAAAACCTGAGCCTTATGTTACGAAAAATGTTAAGGGAAAATAAAACTAAAGTCGTTAAACTGATAAGGCGACTAAACTTTATTCGTATAATAGGAATCAAAAACATTAACGAGCCGATTGCGCTCAGAACACTTAGAACACTACTATGTTGGTATCCAGATCTGGATACGATAAATCACATCTATTATCACTAGAAATTTGCACTTTAAATCGCGTCGCTAGTAACGCACTTTGCTTAATTAAGGGTCCACGAGTCTTAAGCATATTGACTTGAATATCCTATGGAAACATTACCAATTGAAAAGAAAACGATAGCACGAATAAAGAGCCAAATATCTAAGCTAAAACCTCCCTGCTTCCCTATAGGATATAATACACTTACAGTGATCATATGCTTAAACCCGGAGAACTAATAGATCGTTGACTTCGCAACTAGAAAATCACAGAATCTATTTAGGCCCAGTGTGCTTGCCGATAAATCACAGCTTATAGTATTAAGAAAATTTGACTATAAGAACCTAGTTTCACACACTGTTTTCCAGTCTAAACAAGCAACGAATCGCATTTTTTCCAAAGTAAAGATCAAGTAGAGTGGGTACCGAGCTGCACACGTCGTGTCTTGTATTAGAAGCTAAAATGGCATATTCATTTGAACAACTTGCGAATACGCAAGACTACATCAATTAGTGCTTCAAACAACCTCTAATGCCAGATCGACTAGTCTTTGAACTGATTGAAGAATCGCATATTTTAAGAGTGAAGACAATCAACAGGGCGGAGGGATCTTCAAACGCTAAACCGAAATCGGTGCTTGTTCGAGGAATTGTAAATTCTGATGCCAAGAAGGTTTTTAAAGCAGTTTTTAGCAAAGAGGAAACCAGTAGGAAACCGAATTATCACAACCCGTGATTATACTATTTGCTTGCTTGAACATCATGCTCCCTCTTCAAGTTTTCTTCTTGTTGAGTTTTTCAAGTCCCCAAAAATATTACAATATGCCGACAATACTGCTTGTAATGTGCAAGACAAAAATGCGGAGTGAGTTGAATTCAAATACAGAACAAGGCTTTTATAAAACCATAAGTTCTTGCTGGAAAAATGAGAATTAAAAGTCGATTCAGCTTAGCATTTTGTTGCCAGTTTATTTAGATAACCAGTAAATAGCGAAAAATATGAGTAAACAGTACCATATATAATTGTACAATACAGTATAAGAATACAAAGATTGAAAAGCTGTACAGTGTCGAAGAAGCTAAGCTAAAAAGCTCATAACACGTTATGTAGACCTACAAAGAGAGATATGAGCAAAGTTATCGATAAGTATATATAAGAGTAAAAAAGAGGGTTGTATAAGGTACGATCGAGCTGGGACTGGCGAAAAGGTTTCCCAGCCCTTTTCGTCACCGCCAGCTCCCTAAGCTGCTAAGCTAACAACATCAAATCACAGTTTAAGTTGGTAGTATCACAAAATTTTCCCAGTATCTTGGCTACCACCGAGCATAAACAAATGGTCGTTAGTCATATTATAAGTCGGCAGATGGAGGGTTGAAAGAAACAGCTACTTCTAGATTATTCATTCTGTGCGAAGAATGGAACTTCAACTAGTGCCTATATAGTATCCCTATACTTTATATAGTCTAGTCATTAGAGTAATTGTTTCGTGATGATTGGACAAATTTCATTGTATATGGTCCCTAACATCACCTTGCTACCGAAGTAATGCATGATTACGGAAATAATTATTGCTGGAAATTTGATTAAGTAAATGTAATATTTAAGTAAATTATTAAGATTAATATTCCTTGTTGTCTATGGCCGTGTCCCTTGGACGTCCACTGCCACGCTTTCGAGCATCGGCGTCGAATGGGATGGACTCTTCGGTTTCTCGGAGGCTCCCGACACACTGCTGCCTTTGGACCCACGCCTGGATTCTACGAATCCCGCCCGTTGGAGATTTTGATGGATTTCGGTTAAAACGGCAACTTTACCTGTGGAAAGTGGCGAATGCGGGGGCAAAGAAGCTACGCTATCAGGCCGACTTGGTCCTCTACTCCCTTTCGAACCACGTCTTTCATGGTGCCCCAACTTGGTGTCTCTCAGCAGAGAGGCATTCATCAGCCTGGGGTTGGGCGTATTGAAAATGGTTCGATTTTCTCTCCATCTCGCGCTGGAATCATTTACCTGGGCTTTAGTTCAGCAGTAACTTGAGATCATTGAGAGATTTCATTCGAATTTTGTCACTACAGCCTCCAAGTGAGCCAAAACACAATAAAACAGTATCTGATATTCTACATGGGGTCCAAAGATACGTCGGCATGCTTTCAGATACACGCACAGGGTGTCAAAATAACATGATGAGTTTCTATTGAAAATGTCTGCAGACCTTCCAACCTGAGCTGCGCCCAATTCTTTTACTGTGAAAAATGGATTGCTGCTTGGTCTGAACGCACCATAAAATTGTTTTTTTAATCAGCTTTTTCTTGAAAACGTTTTAAATCAAGAGCGGATTATATAATAAGTAAACTATCAACGACCAACTTGCGCACATTAATCCCCGCATCGCATTTAACACCCTGTAACATAACGGCATAAAAATTAATTCTGGATAGCTTTAACCATCTTCAACCACAAGCCTGTTTGTATTGCATAAATAAATGTGCATACATTTCGGTGCTAAATATCAAATTTTGCCTAAATCGGCAGTAATTCGATGCATGCATGTTAACTTCAATATCATGAAAATGATGTAATCCTGCATTTAAAACGTACAAATTACGTCTATAATGTGCAATAAAGATCGACAATTTTGGGACTTCTGCAAGTCAGCTGAAGAAGCGAAATATCTTCTGGATTTTGTCCAGATTGATGTCATAGTCTTATTTCCTCGCATAATTTGTATTGACTTGCTTCTTTCTGGCACATTTTGCTTATCTTTCTAACTGAGCGTTCTTTAAGTGTATAAGCATTTGTTCCTTGATTATTTTCTTTGAATGATTGTTAATTTTTTCAATAATAAAACACTGAAAATTTGAACTAAATTTTTGTACAAATAGACTCACACTACTTTCAAAGAAAACGACTTGTTTTATGCACTGTACGAACAGCTATTGCAGCCGTACTACTTGCACAAAGTCCACGAACTTGCACAGTCCGTATAGTAGATTGTAATAGAGAAATATCCACAACTTTGCACGTAATTTGCTTGTAAGAGCCCAAGAAAACCATCATTCTAAGTTGAACACCAGTCAGTCTTTTGGACCGTCTATATCGCCGTTCTAGAGAACCATCGCTTCTCTTTGTTCCGCACAATTTAAACTCATTCATAATCCGAATTTTTCAACTCCATTCTTAAAACCATGAATTTGACTCACTTGCTGAAGAGGCGCAAGACAATGCAGATGGTGATGAACATGAGGAACATCGCTACCAAAATCCCGATCATAGCTGGATCTATATAGCGCTGAGAAATAACGATGTTCGGAATAGCTGCAAAAAATACATCTTTGATGTGGAAAAATGCAAATCCATCAATATTTACGTATGCATTCCATTAAACCTCCCGCTCTCATTACGGCTTGTCTTTCGAACCGGCAAGTGCACACTCCATCCTTGCACTCTGTCATTGGTGTTCCCCTTTCGCATTGTTCGTTAAAGAAGCAGGACTGATTTACTGAGGCAGCTGAAAACAATCAGAAAAATATTTTTCTCAAGTTTGAAAAAGTTGGCTTTGAGAAGAACTCACCAACTCCACATTTATCCAAGTGATTAGTGACGGTGAGCTCTGGACGACAGTCGCATTTATTGGTGATGGGATCGCATATGGATCCATCGAAGTCGCACTCTTCCGTCGAACTGCAAGGATCACTGAATTTTTTTTTTACATCATCTAAAACAAAATGTGGAATTGGTTACTTTTGCTTTAAAATTTTGGCGGTGAATTTGGTTTCAGTCTCATGACGGAATTGAAAAATTCGTTAATCCCAAACCAGTCGAGATGCAAGCGCAATTTTTTTGAACAGCAAATTGAAACGCGATTTTTTATCCCAATATGCAGAAAAGTACGTGTAAGATGCTCTATGAGTTCGCGTTTAACCGAACAATAAGCAACTTTTAAGGAATTTTCAGTGCTTCAAGTTTAGTTTTTGTGCCTCAGTTTGGATCGGAAACATTTGTAGCTCCCAAACTGGAAGAAATGGAAGCAGATTTTTGTCGCCAATGTACAAAACAGTCTTCTTAAGATGTTTAGTGAGTTTAAATTGAATCAAGCTACTATGAAGCTTTTCAGGAATTTTCAAAGCCTCGACTTGAGTTTTTGTGCCTTAGTCCGGATCAGAAACATTCGTGGCTCCCAAAATAGAAGAGATAGAAGCGCACTTTTTTACCATAATATGCGAAAGATTCTTCTAAAGATGTCTAGTGAGTTTCAATTGAATTGAATTGAGTAAGAAGCTTTTGAGGAATTTTCAAAGCTCCAAGTTGAATTTTTGTGTCTCACTCCGGATCAGAAACCTTCGTCGTTCACATGCTGCATAAAATATAAGCAACATTTTTTACTCCAAATTGGGGAAATGTCTCCTTAAGATGTCTAGTGAGTTTGACTTGAATTGAGCAACTAAGAAGTTTTTGAGGAATTTTTAAGCTTACAATTTGAGTTTATGTGCCTTAGAACGGATCAGAAACATTTGTGGCTCCCAAAATATACGAAATAGAAGCGTAATGTTTTACCCCAATGTGCGCAAGGGCCTACTCAAGATGTCTAGTGAGTTGGACTTGAATTGAGCAACTAAGAAGCTGTTAAGGAATTTTCAAAACTTCAACTTGAGTTTTCGTGCCTTACTCCGACTCAGAAATATTTGTGGCTTCCAAAATAGAAGAAATAGAGGTGTAACTTTTACTCCAATGTGCAGAAGAGTCAACTCAAGATGTCTAGTGAGTTTGACTTAAATTGAGCAACTAAGAAGCTTTAGAAGAATTTTCAAAACTTCAATTTGAGTTTTTGTTCCTAAATCTGGAGTTCAAAAATTTGTCTCTCCTGAGAGAGAAAAAATTGAAACGCGATTTTTTATCCCAATATGCAGAAAAGTCCGCGTAAGATGCTCTATGAGTTCGCTTTCAATCGAACAACTAAGTGTTTGAGGAATTTTCAATGCGTAAACTTAATTTTTTGTGCCCCAGGCCGGATCAGAAACAGTCGTCGCTCTTGATGGAAGAAATGGAACCGAAATTTTTTTACCCCGATGTACGGAAGAGTCTTCTTAAGATGTTTAGTGAGTTTAATCTACTTCAGTGACTAAGAAGTTTTTCAAGAATTTTCAAAGCTTCAACTTGGGTTTTGTGCCTGAGACCGGAATTGAAAAATTCGTCTAACTCAAACTAAGTTGTGTAAAGCAGCTCGATGAGTTTGGATCCAAATAGGATATTCAAAAATTTTCAAACTTTCTACTTGAGATTTTGCGTCTAAGTGCGCAATTGAAAAATTTATCGCTCTCAAAACTAGAAGAAATAGAAACACAACTTTTACGCCAAAATGAGGAAGAGTCTTCTTAAAATGCTTGCTGAGTTTGGTTCTAATTAAGTCCCTCACACACTTTTGATGAATTTTCAAAGTTTCAGGTCGAGTTTTTGTCCCTAAGCCGGGAATTGAAAATTTCGTCGCTCTCAAACTGAATGAAATAGAAGCGCAATTTTTTGCCTCAATATGAGGAAGAAAATTTTCAAACCTTCAACTTGAGTTTTTGTGCCTTAGTCCGGATCAGAAACATTTGTCGTTCACAAACTGCATAAAATAGAAGCGCCATTATTTAGTCCAAAATGAGGAAGTCTCATTAAGATGTCTAGTGAGTTTGACTTGAATTGAGCAACTAAGAAGCTTTTGAGGAATTTTCAAAGCTTCAAGTTGGGTTTTTGTGCCTAAACTGTGTTTTTCTCCATCAACATGAAGAAGAGTCTTGTTAGCCTGTTCGGTGAGTTTTGAATCGAGCATTTCACAAAATTTTGAATAATTTTCAATTAAATTTTAAATTGATCATATTTCTTTAAAAAGTTCGGTTCTAAAACGGTGTTTCACAACTTAAATTCCTTTACTTATTTTAAGTCCCAACAATAAGAGGAGCCTTGTTAAGATGCTTGTGGAGTTTCGAGCTATTAAGCGGCGTTTGAGGAATTTTCAAAGTTTCAAGTCGAGTTTTTTTGTGGCTCAGACCGGAATTGAAAAATTCGTCTGACTCAAACTAGACGGGACAGAAAGGGAAGCTTTTGCTTAACAATGCGGTAAAGCAACTCGATGAGTGTGGATTCTAACGGGGATGTTTTTGAGAAATTTTTAAAATTCCAAGTCGAGTTTTTTGTGCTTAAGTTTGAAATTGAAAATTTGTTGCTCCAAAAACCAGCAGAAATAGGAACGCGATCTTTTACCCCGGTATGAGGGCGAGTCTTCTTTAGATGTTCGGTAAGTTTGAATTCAATAGAGCCACTCATAAACTGTCGAATAATTTTCAGTTTTCAATCTCTTCAGTTTTCACTTAAAACAAAACAGTGAATAAATTCAATTTAATCACCCTCTATAGCCCAGACAAAGCTTTTAAAAGTTCTTTGTTCATGGAAAGTTTCATGTTCAAGATTTAATGTAGAATAAGATATTGAAGTACATAAAATATCCTGGATTGGCAAAACGACCTCAAACAAAGAAACAAAAAAACAACACGCAACAACTAAACAAAAGGTTTGCGCAAAGCGTGCAAGTGCAACAAAGGCCATCGAGCTGTTTAAAACGAACTCATCTTGGGTCAACTCCTGCTTGCAACGGCAGGAGTTTCCCGCGAGGAAAATCACTCTTACCGTTCGCCTCGTTATCCTCAACGCCATTTAGAATGAGCAGCAGGAGCAGGAGCGACCTCATCCACGGCGCTCTCCGCCTGACCTGCTCCATTATCACTCAAACAGCTCACATATTAACTCGTGGATCGGACGTGCTGATGCCATTCTATGCGAAACTGCATTATTGAAGTTTGAGGCCTCAAACAACCGAGAGTCCGCATTCAGAAAATTTGCGCTGGCGCCGATATCGGCGCTATCGCCCACGTTGCCAATTTTAAATTCATCATACCAAGTGTTGCTCAAAATATCCGGGTGCAGTTTGACTCCAGCCCCAAAAACAACTTTTAATAATTGGTGGTAAAGTATATGCAACGTCTATTGAGACAATGTTAAAATTGGTCTGGTCAGGGCATTGCTTCGACATTTTTCATGGAGAAACAATGGAACTTTATTTATATATTTTAAATTCCAAAATGCATCAGTTCTGTTTGCGCCACTCATTCAATATCGGATTTGGACATTCATAAATTTTGTCTCAATACAGTTTGCAAATACTTTACTTATTTTGCGTTGGTGCGTGTTTTTAATGGCCTTAGCCCTTAATGGAAACCTAAAATGAAATCTTTAAAAAACTTCGACTCGTCGCATTGGACTTTGCATATAATTTACTTGACTGCTGGTTTAGCCGAATGAAATTCTATCGGTAACTTTTACAACCAGCCTTCTACAGGTCGTTTGCTTGAAGAAACCGAACTGAAATTTGTATTAAATCTGTGAGAAATTAGTGTAGATTCTTCAGTGTTTAATTAAAATGTCTCTAAAACAGCGCGAAGAAGTAGAAGGTGTATATTGTGGCTCAAAATCAATTGATGAACATCTTCACCCAGAAAGCCTGGAGGCTCAGATTCAAAGCAAACCCTGTAAATAATAATTTCTAGCTAATGCCACCCATGTAAATAAATGCAAACTTTCCACTCCAATTCTTTGTGTAAAGTAACAATTGAAGAATCATGCAACAGCACCATATCGACAGCTGGAAATCTAGGAAACAATTGGGAATAAAGGTCATAATATTGTAGCAGCCAATTTTACACGAAACTGGTAGTTTAGGGGTAATTCCTGGAATGGGAATCCAGGTTCAAATCCAGGAAATCTTTGCTGCTGGCAACGTCGTCACTGCCCTTAGTTGATCCAGTGTGCGTGACCCAAATAATATAATAATCGTCACTGGAAAGCACTTAAGGGATTATTATTTCCGATATTTTTTCGCCAGAATGAATAACAAACATAAACTGAACATAAAGCCTAGAGGGTTATGGCTGGGTTCACAAGGGTTTGGCTCCAAATCAATACAACAATCCAGGGTTGCACTCATACAATTCCATTGAATTTTTATGGCAAATTTGGCTTCAATCGGGCCACTAAGAGGCTTTTGCGGAAGTTTCAAGTTGAGTCTCTTGTACCTCAGTCGGAAATCTAAAAAATTGCTGTTTCGAAATCGGGCCACTAGGAAGCTCTTGGGGAATTTTCAAAATTTTGAGTTGAGTTTTCGCTCCGGAACTTATAAATTCGCCGATCCATTAACATGAAGAAGAGTTTTGTTACGATGCAGGGTCAGTTTGATTTCAACTGGGCAACCAACAAGTTTTTGAAGAGTTTTCAAATTTTGAACTAAATGTCTTTGTGTCTCAGTTCGGACGTGGAGAATTTCTCACTCCCGAACTTGAACACATTTTCTTCACCATTATGGGGAAGAGCCGTCTGAAAATTAAGCTTGACTTTAGCCGAGTAACTAAGAAGCTTTTGAAGAATTTTCAAAGTTTCAAGGCGAGTTTTCCGTGCCTCAGGCTGAAATTGAAACATTCGTCTAACCCGAACTAGACGAAATCGAAGTGCAACATTTACTAGCAACGAATAAGAGTTTTGCGAAGTTGCTAGATGAGTTTGGTTTAAATCGGGGCAGTAACAGGTTTCTGAGGAATTTTCAAAGTTCAAGTCGATTTTATTAGCGGCTCAGTCAGGAATTGACAAATTTCTCGATCCGAAGCTAGACGAAACAGAAACCCGCTTTTTTCTACCAACATGAGGAAGAGTCTTATTAAGATACTGCGTAAGTTTCGTTGAATTGACTGACTTCAAGCCTGCGGAGGAATTTTGAAAGTTTCAAGTTGAGTTTTTGTGCGTAACTCCTAAATAAAAAAAATCGTCGCTCCAAAACTAGAAGAAACAGTTTTTAGAGTTTTTGTGCCTAAGCCCGTAAGTTAAAAACTTGTCGATCCCGAGCTAGACGAAAAAGAAGCACGTTTTTTTTTCGTCAACATGCGGAAGAGTCTTTTAAGATACTCCGTTAGTTTCATAGCAATCGAGCCCCTACGAGGCTATTGAAGAATTTTGAAAACTTCAAGCTAATTTTTTATGTCGCATTTTATAATTCAAAAACTTGTGGCTCCTATACTAGAAGAGATAGAAGGAAATTTTTTTACCACAACATGAGGAAATTTCCGGTTTAGATGCACGGTGAATTTGGCTTCAATTGGGCAACCAAGCAGGTTTTTTTCAAAGTATCATTCTGAGTTTTTGTGCTTCGGCCAAAATCTCGGCCTCTCGATGGCCTTATTACCATCACGTACTTAATCTTATAGTTGTGAGTTACCTCGAAGGACTCAATAAATCAATTTAATTAAGACAACAGGTATGCGAAATTGTGAAAAATACAAAATTCATTTTGAAATCTCCAAAAATTTTTATTTTTGCCAGCTGAGTAAACGCTGGTGTGAACCAGGTCGATTTTACGAAACTGCGCTTTCTTCTTTCAACATTCTTAACTTCCAGACTATGAAGGATCACGCTTGAAAATTGCACGGTTGAAAACGCTTGACCCTAAATATGTGTACATTTTCATCGAAAACACCCGAAACCCTGATTTTGCCAGTTGACTAAAGTTGATCTCAAGTAGAAGTTTCACTCAACTGCGATTCCACGTTTAAAAATTCCTAACTTTCAAAACAGAGCACTCAAACACACACAAACTCTCACATTCCGAAGAGTGCGGTTCTCTCAAAGCAAGCTAAAATGTTCATAGCAATCCTTTAAAATGCCCATTGTTCAGATTATTAATTGTTGGTCTAAAACTGCATGTTTTACCTGATGGCACCCTCTCCTCTAAAAATTCCTAACCTTCAAACTAGAACAAGTAGCAACTTTAAGCTCGTACAGTGAATTAAAGAAGCTTGACGCTAAAGATAGTAATATTTTAGTTCAAATCTCTAAAAATTGAGATTTTTGCCAGCTGAATAAAATTAGGTGTGAACGAGGACGATTTTCTGCAACTGGGCCCTCTTCTTCAAAAATTCTTAACTTCCAAGCTACAACAAGCGGTAACTTGAAAATTTCACCTTACGTAGAACAAGCTTGACTCTAGATATGGGGGCATTTTCATCAAAAACTCCCAGAACCTTGATTTTTACAAGTTCAGCATATTTGGCCTCAAAAAATTCATAATTTTCAAACCAGAGCAAGTAGCAACTGCAAACTTTCACAGACCCTGGCAGTCGTTTTTTCTCAAACATGCAAATATTTTCATAATAATAGCCTGAAATTGTGAGTTTTTTCAAACTGTCAATTGTTGAACTAAAAGTGGGTGTCTCAACCAACTGCACGCTCTTTTTTAAAAACTCCTAACTTCTAATCTAAAGCAAGTAGCAACTTGAAACACGTTCAGCGCTTTGCAGAAACTTGACGCTAAAGATAGAAATATTTTCATTGAAACCTCCAGAAATTAGGACTTTTACCAGCTGAGTAACATTAGGTGTGAACGAGGACGATTTTCTGCAACTGGGCCCTCTTCTTTAAAAATTCTTAACTTCCAAGCTACAACAAGCGGTAACTTGAAAATTGCACCGTACATAGAACACGCTTGACTTTATATATTTGGGAATTTTCGATAAAAACGCGCGAGACCCTGATTTTTGCCAGTTAACTAAGTCTGGTCTCAAATTGGATGTTTCACCCAACGACAACCCACCCTCGCCTTAAAAATTCTTATGTTCCAAACTAAAGCAAGTAAAGACTTGAAACTCACGCGGTACTTTTGGGAAACCTGACAGAAGACTCTGATATTTTGACTCAAATCTCCAGAATTTGTATTTTGCCTATCTGAGAACAAGGTGGGCCTGAATGTTCAGAACAAGGACGTTCCATCGAACTGGACTCTTGCCTTTAAAAATTCCGAACTTCCAAACGAACATCAGTACGAATATAAAACTTTCTCCGCACTTAGACGATGGGTGAGTCTAAATTTGCGGAGATTCTCATTAAAAACGGAAATACTATATAAGCTGAAAAAAAAAATTTTTGCTCTAGTTCTTAAAACACTTGACTCTAAAGATTCTTTATTTTTGCCAACCGAATATAGGAAGTTTCAGATTACGAGCAAATCCAAAAACATGATAGATGTAGTTTTCTTTAAGAAAAGAAAAAGAGTTTTGAAGCTCCGGTCCCTCTGTGGCATTTTTAGCGAAAAGTTTTGAATGTGTTGACTAACCACTGATGATTTTCACTACTAACGCTCAAAATCCTGTTTTTTGCCAGTTGAGCAAAGTTGACCTCAAATACTACTTTTTCTTCTCAGGGTGAAAATGAAGAGGTTTGCTTTAAGGGCAGTAGGCTTAAAGGGACTTTAAAGCCAAATATAACTTTTGTGCTCAAACTAGAGAGCCTTTAGTACGCAAAATGGTAAAATAGTTCATTATAATTAATTTTGCAACTAAAACACGCAAGCACATCGAAAAAATACTTATTGATCACACCACAGTGTGTACCATAATAAAAACATGCACTGGTAAAGAAATTAGAGTCAGCAGATTGCATTGAATCCAAATCAAGTCTTCACTTGAGGATCCGCTAAAGCCATCACTATCTTCATCTGAAGCTGCCGCTTCATCGAAAACCGCATAAAATTCTTCAGTTGCTTCATATCCATGCTCCACTTGAGTAGAATGGAGCCAATCAGACACAATTTTTATAACTGCTTCGGCTCAGAGTGTTTAATTAAAAAGGGCAATTGGACTCGTTCAAACCAGCACAATTCACTTAACATCCATTTGTTCGCTGTGTTAGATAATTGGGCCGATCCGGCTCTGAACTGCAACTTAACAATGCAACCAATTTGCATGAATTATGCTATATTGTTTCCCACACAGTCCGGTCGACGTCCATATTTGATGCACTCTTGGGAAATTCGTGTGTCCATTAATAAACCAGGAAAAGGCTGATTTCACCGGATTAACTCGTCCAGACGACTCGAACGAAACGTGGTCATTTTTCCTAGTTTCCTTATTGATCCAAATGAGCCGATTCACGGTTATATCGCTCACGTGATACTGCACTTATTATTAAGTGAAGTTGCCATGAAATCCTTATCAAAACGTGATGTCATCGTAAATAACAACATCCACTTGGCATAGTTTCGTTTATCTTCTCTACTAACAATTGAACAGATTTCGATCGTTTGGCTCAACTCCACCACCTGAAAAATTAACTCTGGTGCTGTTTCGGTTCGAATAGGTGAAGATGTTTTTCGCTGTCACCATCGTTTCGACCCTCCATCTATTCATCAGGAAGCTGATACAAGGTAAATTTTAATATTTTTTGCTTGCCCTGTATATGTGTATCTGGATTAACAAAACCGCGATTTATTGCTGTGTTTTTCCACAAATTGAGGCGGAAATTGTGTGTAGTAGTTTATGTTGATAATGCTGTTTTAGAGGATTTCATCATCGGGATTAAGATTAAATGGCAGACGTTTTATTGAATTGTATTGCCCTCTCACCCGTTTTCACTTGAAAAGTGTATTTTTAGTGCGTTTTTAGTCTAAATCAAACCGGAATTTTCCAAAAATGTCTCTCTTGATCTTTGCAAGCATTAATTCGCGAAACTCCCCGGGTGTCAGTAATTTATATTAAAATCTTTACAGAACAACCTTTCAATCAGTAGCTTCCGGTATTTTCGACTATCATCAGTTAATCGATAAAATAAAAAATTGCTAAACCTTGTCTCTTAATTTACGAAAATTATTTTGAAAACCAGTCTCATTCTTTTTGACCAGAGACTGAAAGCAAAGTCACTAAAATAAATTTTAATTTTATACATTTATACAGGGTGATTCAAAATTGGCGTCATTCCTTTTAAAGGGTGATAGAGGCTCCCTTGGGGAGTACGAGAAAAATATTGAAAATTTTTTTTCCGAAAATTTTTAGAAGATTTTAACAGTTGAAGTTCGAATTTCAACTTTGTTATTAAGCATTATTTTGAAATTATCCCATGTTTAATTGGTAGCATATTGGAATACTTAAGCATTCAAAAAGAAAAATTACCATCTTTGCTTCAAATTACCAACATTTTTTATATCAAAAAAGTTCTCTTCTACAACTTTTTGATGAAAAGTCACAGCGGCAATGATGTTTTTTGTCATTAACAGATAGTTACAGGTGGATAGCCCTTGTCAATAATAACAATAATTTGTCAGTCTGTATAATTCCATGGTTACAGGAGTTTTAAATAATTACGAAACTACAGGTATTTGCGCAATGTTAATTAGGCAGTTTACCTTGAAAAACATTGCTGCCGTATTTCTGATATAGTTTTTTGCAAATTTCTCAGTTTCTAATAACAATTAATTAATTTTTTTATTTTTTCTGTACTCCTATAACAGCACCAGACAACACCTCCAGAGGAATGACGCCAATTTTGTATCACCCTGTATATGTATACTTTGCAGGAATGTCAAGCATTTGCAGGTGCTTTAAGCGAGTTTAAAAACAAATTATACATTTACTTTTGGGATGCATTTAAGCGTGTTATCGTCTTTCTGCCTCGGTCTTTATTGATCAATAAATTTAAAGGTGGATTAGGCGCCTTCTACTTTTTATCCGTTTTATTATTAATTACGCGAAATACACTTAATAACATTGCACGTCACCAACAAGATTAATTCTGGATTAGGCGGTTTATATAAATTATAGAAAATGCGACGATCGATGGCGAACAGTTTGGCTTTAGATAAGTCTAGTGCTAAAGATAAGCATTTTTTGCCCTCGCTGATGCTTGGAAAATGTAAAAGTTCATCTGGACTGGTGGAGGTTTTGCTAGTCACCCAACTTTGTGTAGCTAAAATCCAGAGGTTCAAAGGCAAAGTCCTGCCACATTTAGAATGAACTTATAACATATTTTCAAACTCATTGAACCATTTCCAATCGGAAAAACTCAGCTTAAAGTGGTGACTGTTGAATGTCCTTAAATAAATAACGGAAACGTCGCATGTCGCATGAACTGAACATGTTAATTTCATCACGGGTTTGCATACAATAGCTGAGTAAATAGTCACAATTTACATTAATTCGTGGAAGCAATAAAAGTTCGATCGCGCTTTTAAGAAGGAAATCCGCCTTATTTCATCGAATGGGAATTAAATCATCATCAATCTTTCATGTTTTATTAAGCGATTCGGCGTGTGCCCACTTTAGATTAAATTATTTAATAGTGGGTGTTCGGGAAATAGGGGGCAGTCATTCAAGTGGCAATATTTCTAAAACGGTGCGACAAAGCTTCCAGAAAATGTGCTTCATTTGATCAATCAAGGAAAAAGTTAGGACCAGCTTAATGCGAATAAAGCAATAATTTACTGAATTCTTCCTCTTTTGCCAGCAGATCATGCTGCCAGACTTTTTAGGGTTTAACTAGAAAATTTAAATTGTGACAAATTGGCGTCTGTAAAACGGATGCTTTGGGTCGAGATTGATTGGAAAAAATCAACACATTCAGCAATTTCTCAGAAAGTGCCTGACGATGGCTTAAAAACTTTTGCCACTAATAAACTGAAATATACCCTAACAAATCCATGCAAAAGTAATTTCCTCACTTGACTGGTTTCCGAGGGTTAGACAGTGAAACTCCGGCCTGCATAAACAAGCGGAAAGTGCAAACAAATGTTTTTAAACACCCATGTAAACTTCCTAATGATGAATGAAAATCGAAACGTTTTCGCATTACAAAACACATCTGATCACATATGAAATTTATACGAAAGTAACACTTTCACTATCATAAATATTGAGGAAATAAAAGCCAAACTTAGACCAACATCAACAACCATAAATTCTATCGCTAAGTTAAAGAAAATCTCAAAAATAGCCTGTTTATGACTCAAAATCGAAAATTTTGCCACTAATAAAATGAAATATACCCTAACAAATCCATGCAAAAGTAATTTCATGACTTGACTGGCTTCCGAGGATTTAACTATGAAACTCCGGCCTGCATAGAAAAGCGCAAATTTACAAACGGAAATTAGAAAAAAATCATGAAGACTCCCTGAGGATGAAGCAAAATCGAAACATTTTCTACTGATGGCACACAGCTTGCCCTACGAAATCTATTCAAAGGTGACTCTTCAACTTGTTTAAATATTAAGGAAATACGTTCTAAGACTTGCGTAAACAACTGCAAAATTTGATCGCAATTTAAAAAAAATAATAAAATATCAGGATGAATACTGAAAATTCAAACTTCTACTACTTACAAAACAGACTACGGCCAATGAAATCTATAGAAAATTGACTCTCCAGTTTGACTGGTTTCTGAAGAAATAACTGTCAAACTCCGGCCTGGAGGTTCCAGAGGAAAGGAGGTTCTAAACAAATTCACAGAAACTCCCTGATGATGAGTCAAAATCGAAACATCTTCCACTTATAGAACACACATTGCCCTACGAAATTTGTGCAAAGGTGACTCTTCAGTCTTTCTAGATATTGAGAAAATAAATATCAAACTTAACCTCCATCAACAAGCGAAAAAAGCAATTTTTTGAAAAATTAGAAAACATCCTGATGATGATTCAAAATTGAAACCTTTCAGTTTGCATCTAGAAAGAACTGTGCCCTACAAGATGCATGCAAAAGTATCTATTAAGCTTTCCGGTTTTCTGCGAAAATAAACGCCAACCTTTGTCCTCTATAAACGACCGCAAATTAAAAAAAAATATTTTAAACTTCCTGATGATGGTTTGAAATTGAAACTTTTTATTCCGCATATAGAAAGCACTTTGCCCTGCAAGAGGCACCCAATTGTAAATACTGTACTTTCATGTTTTCACAGAAAATAAATGCCAAAGTTAAACAATCACAAAAGTGAATCACAAATTATAAAAAAAACCGTAAAAATATCCTAATTACTCAAAATTCAAACTTTTCATTCTACGTATAGCACTTTGCTAGAAAACAGATCCAAAAATGAATATGCGACTTTGCTGGTTTCTGAAAAAATTAATGCTAAACTTTAATCTCCTTAAACATCCACACAATTACATGGCAATTTTTTTTACCGGAAAACGCCTGATGATGGCGCAAAATTGAAACTTTTTATCCCGCATATAAAACACACTTTGGCCTGCAAAATATACCCAAAAGTGAATATCGAACTTTTCTAGTCTCTGAGAAAATAAGTGCCAAACCTAGGACTACATAAACGACCGAAAAGTTCTGAGAATTTTTTTTAATTTCGAAATAAGAACTGACGATGAATACAAATCGAAACTTTTACTATTTATAAAACGCATCAAACCCAATAAATCTCATACAAAAGTCAATATGTAGTGTAACTGATTTCTTAATAAATAACTGTGAAACTTCTGTCTGCGTAAACAAGCGTAACAAACATAAAGTGCCAACAAATGTTTTTAAAAAATCATCTGATAACATATGAAATTTATACGAAAGTAACACTTTCACTCATAGATATTGAGAAATTAAATGCCAAACTTAGACCAACATCAACAACCATAAATTCTATCGCTAAGTTAAAGAAAATCTCAAAAATAGCCTGTTCATGACTCAAAATCGAAACTTTCGCCACTAATAAGATGAAATATACCCTAACAAATCCATGCAAAAGTAATTTCCTAACTTGACTCGTTTCCGAGGATTTAACTGTGAAACTCCGGCATGCATAGAACAGCGCAAATTTACAAACGGAAATTTAAAAAAATCATAAAAACTCCGTGAGGATGAAGCAAAATCGAAACATTTTCTACTCATGGAACACAGCTTGCCCTACGAAATCTACTCAAAGGTGACTTCAACTTTTTTAAATATGCACCCAATTGTAAATATTATACTTTCATGTTTTCTGAGAAAATAAGTCACAAAGTTAGACCTGCATAAACAAGCACAAACTGAATCGCAAATTTAAAAAACCCTGAAAATAGCCTTGAACAAAAAAATTTCTTTCCCAAAAATCGAACCGTTTTTGCATTACAGAACACATGTTGAACTATGAAAGTAACACTTTTACTTTCCTAGATTTTGAGAAAATAAATGCCCAACTTAGACCTGCATAAACAAGCATAAAATTATATTGCAAGTTAAATGTAATCTCGAAAATACTGTTGATGACTGAAAATTGTAATTTTTTCTTTCGCATTTAGAACGAACGTTGCCCTAGAAAATGCACACAAAACTGAATATCCAGAGTGACTGCCGCTTGAGAAAATTAATTCCAAACGGAGGCCTGCATAAACGGGCGTAAAATTATATTGCAAACTTTAAAAAATAGCCTAACGATGACTCAAAATCTAAA